ACGTAGGACCAGGCACATATGTACATCGGTCCAGGTTGCCATACCGCATCAACACAACAAGATGAACACCAGATTCATAACAGTGGTTAGGTAAAAGGTGGTAATATATAAGAGAAAGATTGCATATAGAGATATAGTACAAGAAGAAAGAATTGGTTCGTAGAAAGAAAGATATGAAGCGATTTTAATCTCATAGTTTAAGGGAAGACAGGGAGTGTATACACCGACGCCATTGTGATCGATTCTGAGCCATGTCACCAAGAGTCTCCAACCATTGGTTACGATAGAATACTAATATCAACCTCAGTGATATAAATCATTTATTTCAGGCATACTGGGTTTATATACAAAACAGACAGAACATAACGTATCATAAAATAGAATATAACATTTGTACAAGATTTGGCCAAATGCGGCTGTGAATGTGGAAGGTAGTGATTGATAGATAGGGCATAATTCAAGAATGGTAAACCGTATAATAATAGTTCATAGGTTAAAATAAAGGGACATGAATATGAATAGTTTCGTTATTTAATATTTATACGATAAAAATAGTATTGATCCATAAATGGATCCCAAAAGTTACCACTCATTATTCTTATCGGGACACAACAATGTATGTTAGAATCACTTGATTATCGAGTAATTTTGTGTGTAGCAGAAAGATGTTAAATCAGTTGATGAGAAAATATGAACCCTTAACGATTGAGATCATTAGGATAGGTAACCACGAACGGAGTTGATTGACGTAGAATTAGGTTGAAATGAAGCAATCAAATGAAAATGTGACATTATACCATGAAGTCAATAACTATTGGATTTGACCATGTCTGTAGATGAAGAGTGGGTGTCAATGAGATTATCGTGTGTTTTAGTCGGAAAGTGTCGAGTGTTATATATCAGGATTGACCGCAACGACAAAGATAGATATATATATATTCTAGTTACTTAGTAATCATAAAATTGAAATACATCCATAAATTGTTCCTGGGAGGTACCATACCTTTGGTCTTCGTTCGGATATAGCACACACAGAGAGGGAAAGTCTGCAAACAAACCATGTGGATCACTCAGTGTGTAATGACGAAATCAAAACTGTTTTAATTGTATATTGGGTCACTTTATCGAAGATCGTATATATCTCTGGAGAAGTGTATTACAAGCATTTTGTACATGCTGAATTCAATTAGCTGTAATGATGATGAGCTTATTATTTCATTCAAAGTAACAAACAGATAATAATCTAAGCAAGAACTAATCAGAATTAAGAAAACGAGTATTGGATTTTGGCACGAAATTCATTCATCCATATGGTTAAATAGCATTTCGGCGTTAAAATTGATGCCAGTTTGCAATGAAAAACTCTAAATTTTGATTCTGATTTCATAAATTCATGGACAACCATCTTCACACTCAAGTAGGTTGCTGAATTTACCAAAGGTTATGTTGATGTCGCTCAATGATCTTGCGATTGTGATTTAAACAGGGAATGAAGATAAATATTCAATTTAGCATAATATTGTGAATAACTCCTTTTCACTGATTTCTACACTGGTTTCACTGTCAACTTTCTTCTATGTATAATCTGAAAAAAAATTTGTACTGGGAGAAAAAATAACTATCTAGTCTATTATCACTCAGCTGTTATAAATCGTATACTCAGGTGTAATATGATGCATTCTGTATTTAGTGTACTGAGTCAAAGTATTGTCGTATTACACTTTGAAAAAGTGAAAAGAAAATTATACTTTCCCATTACAACTAATTTTCACATCTTCAGTAACTTTTTAATTGTGAAGTCATTAAAGTCTACTAATAACAGCTAATCAACATTTTCGATCCCGATCTTCTGTCAACTTATTCAAGTTGGCAAGCACCATGCGCGAATCATTAGTCAGGTATGAATGATAAATTCTGGAAAGAAAAGTAAAACGAACTACAAGCATATATTCTACTTCTTCTTCTCTACATTAGAACACTAGTGTTCATTATATTTTTGATAGAGTTTTATTCACTAATCTACGACAGTGCAGTCAGTCAGTAACAACGTAGAACTTAGTACGTACGTACATCAGTTCGAGTTGCCACACCACCTTAACACAGAGATGCAGTTGTCGATCCAAATCCAGTAGTGGTAGAGGTAGCAAGAGTGTAAGCAGTGATAGGGAAGATTAGGGTTTGGAGATGTTATTTAAGGAGTATAATCCAGTGAAATAAATTTGGAAAGAGAAAAAAAGAGACAAGGAGGACTTGGGAGAACACAAAGTGTGGATGCACCTGCGCCATTGCAAACGATTTTGAGCCATGTCATTCAGGGTCTCTAACCATAGGTTGCTATCATCTCGCAGATCACATCCAGGTAGTCTACACCTACCAACATGACTCAGTCCACTTGTCAGTGACTTCATGGACTTGTGCCATGTTTTGGTCTGGCCGCCCGTAGCTTTCTTCCAACCTCATATACCATTGAACATCGCACGTCGAGGCAGTCGGTCGTTGGGCATACGTAACACGTGTCCCAGCCATCTCAACTGATGAAGTTTCACTACTTCGTCAATTGATTTGCCATCCTTACCTAGTACCCGTTTCCTAACAACTGCGTTACTTACTCGATGGTCCCATGATATACGAGCAATGTTTTGAAGACACCTATGATCGAATACTAGTAACTTACGAATATCCTCTGCTCTTACCGGCCATGTTTCACTGCCATAAAGTAGGACAGAATGGACTGTTGCGCAGTAAACCCGTCCTTTGGTTGATAGACGGATATCTGGCCTACGCCATAAATGACGCAAGTTCGCAAAAGCTAGTCGAGCCTTCTGTATCCGTGCTGAGATTTCATCACACACCAGACCACAAGGGCTGATGAGACTTCCAAGATAAATGAAGCGGTCGACACACTCAACTACTTCACTCCCTATCACTAGTTCGGGTGTCGATGTAACCCAATCCTGAAGCAACATTTTACATTTCGAGGGAGAGAATCGCATCCCGAACATGCTTGCATTGTTGCTTAGAGTGGTCAGAAGACAGCATTTTGTCAGCGTCTTCACCAAATAAAACTATGTCATCAGCATATTCTAAGTCAACAAGTGAACCTCCCGGTAGAAGTTCAACCCCTGGAAATTTAGATGAGGAGAGTGTTATCTCTGAAAGTACGTTGACCACAAAGTTGAACAAGAATGGAGAGAGTGGACAGCCCTGACGAACACCACTTGAGGTAATCAATTCTGATGACAGTTAGCCATAAGCTCTCACTCTACCAGTTGTGTTCGAGTAGAGAGCCTGTATAAGGTTAATGTACTTCTTTGGTACTCCTTTCAGTGACAAACACTGCCATAGAACCTTACGATCAACAGAGTCAAATGCCGCCTTAAGGTCGAGAAATACTACCATTGTCGGGCGTCTAAACGTGTGTCTGTGTTCTAGAACCTGACGTAGTGTGAATATTTGGTCTATACAACCACGTCCAGGTCGAAAACCAGCCTGATTTTCTCTAGTCTGTTCTTCACGAGCTTTGGTTAGGCGTCGAAGTATTATTGAAGCTAATATTTTAGACACTATATTAGTCAAACTGATTCCTCTGTGATTGTCACAAGAGGACTTTTGTCCTTTCTTAAAAACTGGCACAATCAGTGATTGAGACCAGTCATATGGGATTACGTCCAGTTTACAAATTCTACCTAAGACCTCGGTTAATCTCATTGCTAATACTGGACCACCATCCTTAAAAATCTCAGGAGTAAACCTGTCAGGGCCTGCTGCTCTCCCTCGTTTCAGATTTCCTATGGCTTTTCCAACTTCATAAAGACACGGAGGACCTACATTAACTTGCCATTCAGGTTGACTGGAGATCGTGGGAAACCGAAGTGTGGCTGAAGGCCAGTTGAACTGATCCCTGATGTGTTCTGCCCATCCATCCAATCTCCTGGATTGGGAATGAATAATATGTCCATCTTTCTCTGAGATTGTTTCGCTAACGGTCGGGTTCCTAATTCCGGTTTCCTTAACGAGTCTGAACAATTGTCTGCTATTACCTATTGCCGCTGCCTTTTCCATCTCTCTGGCTTTCGCTACCCACCACTGTTCACGATCATTGCGTAGACTTCTTGTCAACTTGCGCTTAAGCTGACTCCGCTCTCCACTATGTTCAGAGTCAGGTGGAATGAGTTTCCGAGCATCTATCAGTGCGATAGATGCTGCTGAAATCCAGTGTTGCTCTCTAATCTTCTGGTTTACCTTACTAGCAGATATCACTGCTGTTTCCACAGCTTTTCAGATATCATTCCATGCTGCATCGGGGTGGGCATCACATATATGGCTGCCTAACTGTTTTCCTAGTTGTTCCTGAAATATACTCTTAGCTTGACTATCATTAAGTAGGCCCCTAAGAGGTTTCCTTGCAGCGTCTTTCCTACATCCAATAAGACGCAAGCAAATACGCGCTCGCACTAGAGCATGATCGGAGTCTAAGCATGTGCTCCAGAATGAGCGACAGTCTTCTATCGAGCCCCTCCATCGGTGGCTGATAGCGATGTGATCTATTTGGGTCCAACGTTGGGACGAATTAGGGGGTCGCCATGTTAAAAGATGTTTTTCCTTATGCTTAAAGTTAGTATTTGCAAGGAGCAGGCGATTATCCGAGCATAGCTACGACAGTGCAACTCCATTTAAATCATCCCATTGTTCACCACAAACTCAGCATTATTTGAGTGTAACATGCTTTTCTTGTTGTTTGAAAATGGAAGAATTTCATGAAAAAAGGTTAGTTTCCACAAGTTAACAGCTATACATTCGCCAAGGGATGTCCTCGGCAGTAGATTTTACAAATGAGTGTCTAATGATCATGAAGTTCAAATCTCCGTCAGTTCAGATAGAGAACGGAATGCATATCCACTAAAATCAGTCCACTGAGCGACAAAACTACTCTCCTGTCAACACTAGTGCTTATAAAAAGGATAATTTTATAATAAATTTAAAAAAAACAACCAAAAGCATGAACGTATTTGATTGATTTATTGACTCTGTAAAATGATCTCAGGAGTTCAAATGAATGATACGAATGTATATATTTTAAGCTCTATAGATAATAATAATAATAATGAAAATAATAATAAAACGGTTGGTCTTAAATGCAACAGAAAATAAATGAAAAGAATACTCTGAATGATCCAAACACCGGAGAATAATAAAATTGATTTTATGTAATAAACGCACCGAGATTAATCAATGACCACGTACATACACCATGAGCAAAATGATTGATATAAGTAATAGAGTAATTGAGATGACAATTTTTAGCTGTGAACAGAAAAAAAAACCCAATCTCGTTAACTAGTTCCGTTTTTGTTGTTCATTTGTAATGAAATTTCACTCGAACTAAATATTTTTGTTTCACTTGTGATACATGGTATACAATGTATTCATTATAACACAAAGTGGTATTTGCTACATTTGAATCAATCGGTTTACCAATAGGATAAACAACACCATCTTTATTGGTGTAAAATGTCGACGGATCCGGAGTAACTGACCCAATGCCTAGATAAATAAGAATGAAAAGGACGAAAGGTGAAAGAGAGCCACGATTGGTTATAGAGAGAAAATAGACACCCGCTTCGTAATTTTATAATATGAAATGGGTATTTTAATATAACTGCTTCACTAGAGATTTTGTTCAATCGTGATAAGGGCAACTAATAGCACACAACAACATGTAAACATTTAGCTGCCAACACAGAAAGAAAAGACAAAACTTTATATTTGAACTAGAACAAAGTGAAATGATACAACTTTGTATACATATATCTGGTAATGAAAACGTAACCCTTAAATATACAGAAATTTAGCGAACTAAAACGGCAATAGAAATCAATCAGAAAAAGTTATGTATGTTTATCATTATCAGCAAGATTTTTAGCGTTATTAAGTTATCTTCTGACTAACTTGGCTGATTTATACTCGGAGATTCATACTGTATGTGAAGTGCTTGTATTTGTGTTGGAAAGAAAGCAACTACCGTCTGGCCTACAATCTGTCTAGTTCTAAACCACTGTCTCACATGCCCAGTCCATCATATATACATCGAAAAGCTGTTTGCTAACAAGTTGTAAGTAGCTTTGCATATTTCTAGTACAGAATTCCATCCTTACAATTGATTGGTTAATTGTAATCTGGCTGCTCTCTTATTGGTTGATGATAAATATTTTAACTGTCCAATCATATTACAATATGAACTGGTGATTTTTGAGCATGTGTTAATCGTTGACTGATTGTCTCGTAGTTAAATTTAACACTTCGAATGTGCGATTGTTTCTGAAATAAAACTAATTTTTATGGATTGTAAAACCGTTAATTACTGTTACATAGTCATATTCAAAGAAATCAAGAGAGTTCATCCGGTTTGATTCAACCTTAGTAGTATTATTTTGGTAAATCTGATGAATCAGCAATCACGTGAAGGTAGATTGTGAATACTATCAGTTACTTATTATTAATTGCTTACACCTGTTATCCCTCATAAACTATAAGCTGCTAAACAAAATTCCCTATCGAATTCTTTTATCGGCAAACCTTTCCAGTTGTTATCAAGTACTATTTATCCTTTTCATGTCTGCTTCCAATTCACGATTCATTGTGATCTTTGGTCTTCCTCTTTTCCCTTCAGGATTCAAAGTTAGCGCTTGCCTCGCGATGCAATTTGATGATTTGCTTAGTGTGTCCTATCCATTTCCAACGTCTTTTCCTAATTTCCTCTTCAAATGGAACCTGGTTTGTTCTCTCCCACAGTAGGTTGTTGATGACGGCATCCGACCAACTGACCTTGAGTATATTAATAAGTAGACAATTGCTTATAAATAATTGTACTTTGCTGATGATGGTTGTAGTAGTTCTCTACGTTTCAGCTCTGTACAGTAGAACTATCTTGACGTTTGTATTGAAGATTCTGACTTTGGTATTGGTTGACAGATGCTTCGAGTTCCATATATTCTTCAACTGTAGCAATGCTGTCCTTGCTTTGTCAATCCTTGCGTTTACGTCTGCATCAGACCCTCCTTATCCGTCGGTGATGCTGTCTACGTACTTGAAAGATTCCATATCTTCTAGAGTTTCCCTATCAAGTGTGATTCGGGAGTGTCACCAGTGCAGTCAGCGAACTTCAATGAGTGGGTTATTTCAGTTAATCTGACAACAATACCATAGAACGAAATCGAAAGAAGAATAAAAGATAAAGTATTGAACTGCTCACCTTTACGACTATGATAGTTTAATGGTAAGTCACTCGCGTCCGCTTGTAAACATTCATTCATATCACCTAGGATAACTTCACATAATAGTAGGAGTCCTTCCGGTTGAGATTGTGTCGTAAAACAGTAATTAGCTGATTTACTGACAATATCAGCGAAATAAATACCTTTGCCAAACATATAACCAGTAACTGGAGCATCAGGCGGTGCAATTCGTAAACCTTGAGATCTGAACATCAAGTGAAAACACAAATAGTAAGTGCGAGAAATTTTAGAACATTGTGAATATAGAAATCGATGAAGGTGTAGATACATTCCAATCCAATAATTTTCGTGATGGTTAGATGTTTGTCACAAAACCTGTATGTTTTGAGTTCAATAACTAGAAGGATTATGGAAGTGTGCTGCTGAGAATTCCTACAATTGGATGGGATGACTATCTAGTGCTTACCGGTTTCCACTGATTGCTTAACTAAGGTCAGTTCGTACTGTAAACTGTAAAATGAAAAATTAGTCTACTCAAGTCGGAACTACTTTTTTAGTGGGAATGAAAGTTAAGCTGTGCAAACCGAATTACGTAGTTAAAAAATTGGTAAAGTTATTCAACGAGCCTTTGACCTAAAGGTAAAATGTACAAGGTGTTAGAGAAACGGTTAGGAGATGAGGTCATACGGCAGCAAGTGACCAAATATAGGTTCATACGCCACTTGTTTCTTCAAGATCCTGAAGCCCTTGTGCACCAATGATTCGGAATCAGAGTTTCCCAGCTCCTCTAGGTGGATACTCCATATTCAGTGCTAGTTGGAGGTAGTCGATAGGAACCCTTGAACCTAGGTTTTGTACTATTCGTCACTCATCCCCTGTCATCCAGCTTTACAGTCAGAAGAGATACCACTGAGTTATCCGGGACAAGAATGAACTCCTGTAGGACTGAGATGTATCTACAATTGAGTGATCACTGGGTAGTGATTAATGTCAAGTGTATCAGTATTGTGTATCTCGAGGTGGCTACTCTAATTTCTACCGACTGACCAGCTTCAGATATCCCAGTTCGACCCCAATACTGTTCCCAATCTCCAATATATCAGAACACGAACCGTAGATGAAAAATTGTTTATGGGGTCAGGAGCCGAATAATGATTTACAAACAAATGCATATTTATACAGTTAGGATTACTATAAATATTGACCAACAGAAAGATAACACGTGAAATAATATTGACCAATGGGGAAATGACACCATTAACGTTCAAGGGTAGCATTAGACTTAACCAGATAATTGTTTTTGGGATATTTTTCTGAATATCCCGACAATCAGGTCCTTCAGCTACTATACGATTTATTATTATTAATTTATTCCCAATTTATTAGCTACAATCTATTCTACCCACAGCCACTTTTGGCTTGATCTCGAATAATTATTATTCCTCATTTTATGGTGTGATGCAGTTCGGTCTGTATGTACATAAATTACGTATGTCTGAAATATATTATTTATACAGTGGAGGCTGAGACTGTGTTTTGAACTCCATGGGCAGGGCTAAGAGATAGACTACTGTATAGCCGACCAAAAGGATTCAGAGTCGACACAAAACTGACATGTAATTGGTTTAGCACAGGGGGAAGGTCACAGAAGTCAGTATTCTGATTGACGATTCTTTCATGTGATAATTGGCAGACATAAGTTAAAAGAAGTTTAGTTTGATCTTCTTGTATTGTAAATTGCAGGAGTTGGGATTACCGCACATATTTTACAGACGCCATGTTATGAATGATAGCTGAAGATTCAATTTACAAACTATTTTGGTGAACAAAAACTAAACATAATAAATAAAGGACTCAATGATTTTATAGCTGAGATTAGAAAATTTAAAAACAACTTTCGAAAGAAAAGTAAAAAAAGAAGCTTACAATATACCCATCCAATTTGTTTGACGTGAACCATGCCATAACAACTGTTTATTATGTTGAGCAATTTTACACTTGGCAAAACGACTATCCTCTCCATCACGATGTACTTCAAAGATATTTAATACTTCAAGTGTATATTGTGTATGTGTAGCGCCATGAGTTTCGCGTACATAATCCAAAATCAATTTATAATCTTCACAATTACTATCTAAAGGCTGTGTGTTTACGCATAGGAATGAAGAAACATAAATTCAATTATTTATTTGAAAAAAAATCATTATAATTAAGAATAAATTTTATTTGATCACTTGTATAACTTGACAGATTAATAAAAGTGGTGTGTGTAGGGTGAAAAGTGATCAAGGACTGATTGAAACAAACGGTACTGAGTTCAAAACCCAAAGTGAACATCAACTACAGGATGCAGGTACATTACACATAGGACGAAACGCGCGTCCACTACTGGTCACATTTCATTTATTCTGTGCTGATAATTGGTTGGTTATTGAGCGGGGATAGACATATCTAGTTATAGTAATTATATAAGACTATCTTATGTACAAAGCTGATTTCTCGCTTGTGCTCCATTTGATGATTGCCTGTAACCCTTATGCTTGATTGAATTCGGTTCCTTGAAAAGTTATTAGACAGCTGAGTCCAGTACGTTATGTCATCTCTATTCATTCTATCGACCGAATTTAGTGTCTATTGTACGATTTTATCAAGTGTTACGTTCAGTAAAACTGCTTATATTTCTTAATTATATCATAAATGAACGAATTCGTGAACGGAGTTTGATGAATGAAAAAACTGGCAAAGTAGCGTCAATAACCAATCAAATGTGACAGGATCATTATTGTGGAAAATTATCCACATATACTCAGAAACTAACTTTAGATGAAGAGCCCATCTGTAGTCAAACATTTTTAGTCTACGTAATTTAAAGGAGTAAAAGTATAATATATTGACATCCCTGAGTTAATCAATCAGAATCAAGATAAATTCTCATGGATTTTGTGCGAATTTTTAAGTGCAATGATAGGTAACTTTTGTGTTTAGTCAGTGAGTAACAACGTAGAACTTTGCACGTACGTACATCAGTTCAAGTTGCCATACCACATAAGCACAGAGATACGATTGTCGATTCTAACTAACTTGTGTGTTAATATTAACTAGATGAAAATTGGCAATAATTGATTTTTTGAATGTTCGAAAATAATAAAAACATCTATCATACTACCCAAGTGTGAATTTAGAACGGTGCTCAAAATAAATAGAAAAAAACATATCTACTTTAAAGGCAGATTATGTGTTGACGTACATAATGTGATCCGATGCATAGTCAAGTGTTTTTATTTATTTGAACACATCGATATTGGTACAAGGGGGCACCAGATAAATATGCACCACACAAATCTCATTTCATTTGTATGAAGGCTGTAGTACTGCCCAGGTGCCCAAACCGAAGCTGGTGGTTTTCTTAGGAGGCCAAACCCGGAACCTTCGACCTAAAGGTATGATGCACAAGGCAGTAGAGCAACGTCAGGAGATGCAGTTCCATGATAGCCGGTAACCAATAATTGGTCCATACACCATTTGTTTCCTCAGGATACTGGACCCCATGTACATCATTAGTTTGAAATCAGGATTTTCCAGCTTCCCTGGGTGAACCCCCCATATACACCAACCCGGTTGAAGCGCCGGACATTCGCTTTTCATCCTCTCAATTTTGTAAACAATACCCCCACCACGAGAAGGCAATGAGTAGGACTTCACTGGCAGAGGCTATATACGCGTGGCCATATGAGAGCATTTCGGAAGGGAGAGCGGACTCTCCCCATTCTCGGCCGTACCAGGGCATTTGGGGTGTTAAATGGAACTAAATTCTATCCTCTTTTTTAACTTTCTCTATAAATGTCAACCCTATGTTTGTAAGCAACAGGATGGTAAAGCATTACATTATAACTGACATCAGTTTGTGATGAAAATCCTCATTTTAAATTCAGCTCAAAACTCTAGCCCTACTCTTAACACCTAGTTCTAGGCTTTTTTCCATAATAGCCTGACACTCCGAATACGTAAACTTTACCTTTTTTTCCTTCGCTACATTAACAGGAACGTGACTGTGTTCCAAAACAAAACAGTAAGTTAATCAGGTTGGTGTTACCATAAGAATATTCTCAGTATATTTATAACTTATAGACAGGAACATTCTAGAGTCTTCCCCATTTATCCACTAGTGTTGACTGGGTTAAAAAAAATCGCTCAATCAGAGTACTCTAATGTGACTCTGCATAGACCATTTTATTTATTTATTTGAACACATAAATATTGGTACAAGAGAGCGCCAATATATATGCGCCACCATAATTTAATCCAATCTATGCCCTGCCATATATCATAAAATAAAGCCAATTGAAAAACAGGAAATATGAATGAATGATTTCTTTTACTACGAATGGGTTTTAAAGTTTCGAATTTAAGATACATGGTTATAGTTAGGACTAGGATTCAAGATTAACGTTGGGATATAAAAATAGAAAATTACGTTCTACGATTAGTTTATATGTTCCATGAATCTAAAATCTTATTTTTAACGTTAACTTGTTATATATTTAATGTCGTTCTCGTAATTTAAGTTAATCATCTACACACGATAGACAATATAATATTTTGATGTATGGACCATGTGATCTTGAAGCCATTTTGCTTTTCCCTCTGAATTACTTTTATTTGTAAGTCAATTGCGCTGTGAAACACCCTTGAGATTGAATGCCGAACAGTTTTTTTATATATTAGGATACGACCATCGGTCAATTTTAAAAAATAGAATAACCTAAAACCTTCCAGTTTGTGAATATGAAAGTATTCATTAGCAGTTATGATCTATGCGTTTCTTGAACGTATGCTAACATTAGATTACTTGTCACAGTCAGTCATTGGACAAATAACAGAGCCACGTAAGTAGTAACATTATTAATTTGTGGAATCATTACATTGAATTCAGTGAGTATGACAAGGTTGACCTATTTTTCAGTAGAATGTATAGGTCCAAAATAAAACGGACCTGTTCATCAGTACAAATATAAAGTTACCATTGAATATAAACTCTAAGATGGATTGATTATTCTATGAGCTATAGTGATTACAACTACCGTAAATTTGATTTCAAACATACACCGAATAATCTAGTTGAAAGGATTTCGTGGAGTTCTGTAGATCGTATCCGCCACATTTGGGTCCCAGTCACAGAGTATATCGTTGCTATCCTCGTGTCTTGATAGGACCAATGTAGATTGAAATTTTCAGTCATTGTGTTTATAATAATGGTCAAAGAGTGAGTTTTTGGTCACATAGACAGAAAAGAAAGCGATTAGTAAAATCAATAATTAAATAACACGGTCACGCAGGTAAAATAAACAAGAGAATCCAGGTAACAATATTTCAACTCACCTCTAATTTAGTATGCAACTGTTCATAATGCTCTTCCAATGGATTACGTTTAGAATCTCCTTTAGTTTGTAGCATTTTATAAGCTAATTCAATTTCTAACAGATCTTCTAACATGCGTATTTTCTTGGTAATAATTTTCTTATTATCTAACATGGGTGGTGTTTTGAAACCGAAATCATGCGGGATCAATGTATAGAAACGTGTAGATTCACTTAGTATTTGTGTTCGATCCAATGTTTGAGATTGTTGTTTAGTAGAAGGACGTGAACTAACAAGTTTACTGAGAGAATTCAATACATCATAAGCTTCATGAATTTGATTACTAGACAGTTTACCCAGAGGCATTTTTCTTAGATCAAGCTAAAAACACATGAATTTGGAAGAAAAAAGTAAATAAGCTTGATGAAAATGTCGAAAATACGATAAATTAAACAAATTAGACTTCCCAAAAGACTTGAAAATTCTTTTCTGAATAAGATTGAATATTGTCGAGGAGTCCCACTAAACTAATGTGATCAGACAACCGCACTGAGGTGACATGCTAGAAAGGGTGTGGTATTTTCACGACCAACGGCTTTCAAAACACTATTCCGTCTTCGGGAAAGTAACATGAACGGAAATGTTGATTGTTCGTGGAAAACACTCAGATGTTACTATATCATAGTATAGATGGCAATACGACTTTGTCCCCATACCTGTCATATCTGTCATAAAACCAACATGTTTAGGATAGTAGAATTTCGAAGAACAGCCAGTGTATTGTGATTAGAATTTTAAAATATCTAGGGTTTTGTATGCTTAAACATAGTTGATCCTGTTCTCATCATAAAAATGCAATAACCAATGAAAGACAGTGATGTATCAGAACCAAGACTGGAGAAACATTAGCTCCTTGGAAATATTTGATGAATTATATATATATATATATATATATATATATATATATATATATATATATATATATATATATATATATATATATATATATATATATATATATATATATATATATATATATATATATATATTCCGTTTATCGTAAGCTTTTGTTTAGCTCATGAAATATTGTTGCTTATTAGCACTTTTGGTTTTTCTACCCATGATTGTAATTTGGCAATTTATGGGGGATAAGGTCCAGTTTTTATTAGCATACAAACCCACGTGTGTTTAAAATATGATACAACATTAGGCGGCCACTGACAACTACTTGAACTCTAGGTAGAGGATGGAGAAAAAGCTTGTGGATAATAGACAAATAGGAGCGTAGCTTGTATCGGCTCAAGGTTAAATGTGTAAGCTAGGAAGTATAATTTGTCAAGTCTAAGTCTATGATAATAGGTTATAAACGGTACAGTAAACGAGAGATAGAGAATATTATGACCAGAATTCGAATTGACGACTTTAGCATGTAATATAGATTAGAGCCCTAGGATATAACTAGCGGGTAAAAGAAAATAACAATGAAGAAATAGATCACCTTCCTTTCTTCAACAACAAAGAAATTAACTCACTTCAAATTCCGCCATTGTTTTTTCCATAGATTTAACATCACAAATAAATTTTAAGAGCGATTGTAGAGCCGGGTGTAGTTTACATGGTATATTACTGATAGTTTGAATTTCATTCTTCTTTGACTGTAAAATAAAAACACATGGATTAAAAGTGTATGATAAGGTTTACATCAACGTGAGTAATATAGATGAAATCTTAGCATAACTTCTTTATAGAACGCGAATTACGAATAGGTTCGTCAATGAACTGGACTTGCGTAATCACGGTTCTGTTGGGTTTTATTGTTTTTACGACGGTCAGTGATAAGAGGGACTCTCCAGAAGTGTGCATACACGATCCTATACTAAAACGAAACGATCTACCAGTTCAGTAATTCCAGGTTTTCAATGGTGATCTAACTAAGATCAGATAGTGACTTAAAACTCAAAAAATTCTAGTCTTTACAGATCCTCCCTACATTAATAAAATCTTTATTAGCATAAGAATGGCAATTTATTCAGTGATTTGAAAGAAGTATCCAAACATTGTTTCTACTCAGGGTCAAGTATTCAGGACAGGGGCTAAGGAGTTTAGTGTGGATTTTCAAAGGAATCGATATCGATTACAATGAAAAATTGCTTTCGATAAATAAATTACATATTTAAATCCAAGAAACTTTGTTCGATTAGCTCTTCCAAAACAAAAAAGAGTACCACTAGGTTAAGAGTTGTTTCACCATTAAATGTTTGGGATTAGCATTCAATTGTAATATCAACTTTCCTGTGATATACAACCTACAAAGAAAAACTTCAGCATTTGATAAGTTTAACGCTATCATTTTTCTGAACAGCGGCAAAAGTTAGTTTTTCGCTATCATTTCAAATACTTTAAGCAGTATAATGACAGTATTTTTATTCCTCGTTATCCCAGATATTTCAATTTTATGGGGAAACCTAGAAGTATCAATCACTCTTGGTACTTATTGACCCGTCACTATTCCATACTTTGACCAATCAATTATGGAAGCGTTAGGGAAAAATATTTATTCTTGAACCGATAGAATCAAGTAGGAAGTCAATCGTTCAGTTAACATGTGACATACTTAACAAATATGTTGATCCAGGTTCAAGAAGAAACCTTTCTTTTCATAGAATGCTTCAGTTACACATGCTTTGTAATAATAGGGATAAGGATTGAAATCATTCAATTCTAAACATATTAGAAGTGATCTTTTCATGAAAATCAGAGGAATTAATATTGACTCATTCTAATTTAACATTTTTTCTTTAGTTATATTGCCGTAGTTTTTCTTAGAACAGTTACATCAATTCCAACAGCGTTTCAAACACATAAATCTCAAGAATATTGGTGTAATTAGACTGGTGATATACGCGAGTGAAATATATATACTCAACTGAAGTAATGGCAGATGATACTACAATCTATTAGGAGTAATCAATAGAAATAGTGATCTCCAGTTTTCAGTAGTAAGGGTAGGTTTATCGATCTATATTAATCCTTGTGGTTGGTAACACTATGGAGGTCCAATCTCGTTTTAAATATATCTAAAGAGGATTGGGACTCTTCAATAGTGTGTATTCACAGTCTCCCACTGGATCAAACTTAAAACTTTCAGGTTTACGAGGTGATATAATTAAGCAGATTTTGATACGATCATTGAAACAGATTAACACTAATCGTCAATAAATACGATTTTTACCTTTAAAACTTTATTGACCTACAAAATATTAGATAAAGTACGGTCTATGACTGTAAAGAACTCATATTTAGAACAAATACTTTGCTCTTTACCAACTACATTATTAAACGATCCAAAGCTAAGATCAACAATATTAATTAAATGATTTGTGCTGATCAGTTCAATAACAAAACTGATTGCCTAACTGGGTTGATCCAACCACATGATAATATGAGTGTTAAAACTGGAGTAGAAAAATCTTTATTTCATTGACCGATAACTTAAAATATTGATTTGCACTTTGGCCGATTCCTTTCAAGAAGTAATTAAGATACATTTGGTAAGCCGCTGAGTTCGTAGCGTGACGACTTCGTGAACTCATTGTTATTCCATCGTTCTTATGTTTTTCTTTTAAGGAAAACAACTGTTTTTGATTGAGGTAGTTTTTGGGAGATTGATTTAATTTGTAGATTGTATTCATCACAGACTGATCTCCATTAAGGTACCATTGAGAACTAGGGAAAACTATTTGGCTCTAGTGTGGGACTACTCTCAACAGTGTTCCCACAACATCTCCAGGAACAGAAAGCAAGGACCTTCAGGTCACTCGACGAACATTTACTCGTAAGAACTATTGAGTCGGTATCCAATAGTAAAGACTCATCTGCAATCAATCCTCAAAATAGTGAAACGACCACTCATTGCCAATAGTGACAATGATACCCCGTTTGTGATCAACCTTACAAGCCGTATCTTTGATTTCCATTCAATAATCAAAAGAAAAAAGAAAAAATATAACAGTTCACTTACAGAGTTATAATCTAATTCTAACTCATAGAATTTGTGTGGCATTTTACGAAAGTTTTTACGATCCTCCCATTCATTTCCAGTTTTTTCAAAATAAATATCTTTGAATGTTGAACGAGCTGAAGTGGCATTAGGAAACGATTCAATTTTAGTGCCACCAATCGATGTACCAATACGACCCCATGCGCGAAATACCCAACAACGTGATGATTTATCAGACTGAAGCGCTTGAAGCCTTTGGTGGAAAGGAGGATGTTATTATTTGAAAAAAAACACATAATTGCTCAATAATTTATCGTGGATGAGAAAAAAACCGATATATTGATGAGGGATATTAGGAAATGTAACCAGCACAAATGATCATCTGGAGTAGGGTACTATGGACAATATTATATACAATTATAGTGCTTTAATATAGAAAAAACTGTATATCAGACGACATAATCTACAGAACTTTTATTATACCTATTAATATACAAGTTAAATGTTACAATTTATATATCACAAAAGATATATAACACTAATACATATTTTGAATGAATTAGAATACTTCACTTCAGTCAGTTAATCATAAAGAAAGTAGAGCCTGGGACATACGTGTATATTAGTTCAATTTGGCAAATTATATGTGTACAACGAAATGAGATGACCACGTTTTGCAACCGTAAAGTAGAATACAAAGAACTGCTACACGCTATACTCGTCCCTTAATTGATTGACGGATATCTCGCCTTCGCCATATGTAACTTAAGTTGGCAAAAGTCGAACGAGCTTTTTGAATTTGTGCAGAGATCTCGTCAGACACCAACCCATTACTGCTGACCAAACTTCCAAGATAAGTGAAGTTATGGATGAGTTCGAATACTTCACTCACTATCCTTAGTTCAGACGTTGGCGCAGGCCAGTCCTGAATCAACAATTTGCATTTAAAGGGGAAGAAACGCATTGTTGCTCGGTGCTACCAAAAGACTGCATTTTATCAGCGTCTTCACCAAACAGGATTATGTCATCTGCGTATTGTAAGTCGATAAGCGGACATCCTGGAAGGAGATCAATGCCCGGAAATACGGTCGACGAGGAAGTTATTTCTAGCAGTAGGTCTATGGTGAAATTAAACAGAAATGGGGATAGTAGACAACCTTGACGGACACCACTTGAGGTTGCAAAATCATATGACAGTTCACCGTATTGATAGTGTTCGAGTAAATACCATTCACTTCAGAGGTACACCTTTCAATGACAGACACTGTCACAGAACCTCTTAGTCAACCGAGTCAAATGCTGCTTTTAAGTCACAAAAAACCACTGTCGAAATCCGAGAAGCAAGCCTGTGTTCTAAAATCTGACGAATGGTGAAGATGTGGTCGATGCAGCCACGACCAGGTCTGAAGCCAGCCTGGTTTTCTAGTACTTGCAGTTAGCTCACGAGTCTTTGTTAGGCGTCCGATAGTTGTTGAGGTTAAAATTCCAGACGCCATATTAGTCAAACTAATCCATCTACTTTATCACAGGATGATTTTGATCATTTCTCATATATCGTACAATCTAAAGACAAGGTATTTATTTAAAGATGGCAACAGCTTGTGCATACACTTTCTCTTACTAATGAGACGCAAGAAACAGTCAAGCAGTAGTGCATTTGTGCAGTGAAGCAACACTATTGATGACGATATAGCAGATAAGATCAATCTATGTATAATGAAGATAGGACGACTTATAACAATTTGGGTCATTTTCGAAGACGTTATAATTGTCAACCTCATATAATGAGACTAGTTATGCAAGTTCACAGTCGAGTAGTCGTGCCATTCATACGTTAAAAACTTGGTCTCTTTGAACAAAGGGTGTTTTCAATCTTCATTATCTTCAAATGTTTGATTACGTCCTGTAGCATCAACATATAATTAGGCTGAAAATTGGTAACACCTGTTAGGGTACAGTGAAGACGTTTTATGCATGGGATTCGTAATGAGCATTCTTATTTGAAGCTGGAACAAATAGACACCACTAGTCAAACGATTATTCGAAGTTGGGAAACAGTAAACTATGGAAAGCCATAAGTTTGCTCATTTAAGTCTGATTATAGTTGTATTTTTATGACCTTAAAGCGATGTTGGACACCACTGAATGAGAGACTTAGTGACACAGTATTTGTGATTAAAAGGTGTACGAGGAAAATATTTAAACCTTGAGAAGGTTCTTTACCCGATTACTAGTGGTGGGGTCTATAGAGAGTTTTCAACCCCAAGTAGTGTTCGTCAGGATTAACCACTAGTTGTATACAGTTAACAATGTCTATTAAGAAATCACAGGCTTCTTGTATGTATAGGGCCATCATTCAGAAATAATTACATTGAACCTTCTGTCGTAATCTTGATAAACAGTAATATGTGCTTTCACGAGAAAATTGAAGCGACACTATAACTTACACACGCGCACACGATCAACAACAAAAAATATATTACACTTACTTGTAAAATGAATTGGAACCTTTGATTAAATCAACCATACCGAGTACAGCAGTCATGAATTCTCCCTTCTCATCTTTCAATACTGTGGCTTTATTGACCAGTTCTGATTGAGGATCAACCACTGCACCATTCTTCATTATCATTCGCATCATTTCTTGTTCACCGTTATCATCATTCAAAAGTAAATTCTTCACCTCTTTCTCAACTATATAGGTAAACAAACATTAAGACAATATTGACAGTTGTGTGATGGTTTAAAAAAAAGATATTGAAGCCTAGACTGAGTATAACTTAATATGTATATTATGCGAAGGACCTAGCATACTATTTTATATAAGGTCAACGCTAAAAGGATAATCAAAAAGGAATGGTAAAAGTGTACTACATTGACAAAACAATCAGATTAAGGATCGAGGCTACTGAATTTTGCACAGAGTTCGAAGTGTGAAGTGCCCCAAATGCCCTGGTACGGCCGAGGGTCAGGATAGTGAGGTCTTTCTAAATGCTCTCACATGGCCATGCGTATACAGCCACTACCAGGGAAGTCCTACTCATTGCCTCCTCGTGGTGGGGTTGTTTACGAAATTGAGAGGATGAAAAGCGAATGTCTGGCGCTTCAACCGGGTTGGTGTATATGGGGGGTTCACCCAGGAAAGCTGGAAAATCCTGATTTCAAACCAATGGTGTAAATGGGGTCCAGTATCCTGAGGAAACAAATGGTGTATGGACCAATTACTGGTTACCGGCTATCATGGAACTGCATCTCCTGACATTGCTCCACTGCCTTGTGCGTCAGAACTTCAGGTCGAGAGCTCCGGGTGTGTTTCCCTAAGAAAACCACCTGTTTCGGTCTGGGCACCCGGAAAGTATCACAGCTCACACGCAAATCAAGTGACTTGTGTGGTGTATATGTATCCGGTGCCCTTCTGTACTCATGCTTATGTGTTCAAATAAATAAACACTAATCGTCAACAAATACGATTTTCACCTTTAAAACTTTATTGACCTACAAAATATTAGATAAAGTTCGGTCTGAGACTGTAAAGAACTCAATTTAGGACAAATACGTTGCTCTTTATCAACTACATTTTTAAACAACCTAAAACTAAGATCAATTGATCCTTGTTATATACAGTCAGTCAGTCAGCTACAACGTAGGACCAGGCACATATATGCATCGGTCCAGGTTGCCATACCTCATTAGCACAGCAAGATGAACACCGGATTCATAGGAGTGGTTAGGTTAAAGGTGGTAATATATAGGAAAAAGATTGCATACAAGGATACAGTACCGGAATATAGAATTAGTTCGTAGAAAGAAAGATATGAAGCGATTTTAATCTCAGTTCAAGGGAAGACAGGGAGTGTATGCACCGATGCCATTGTGACCGATTCTGAGCCATGTCACCAAGAGTCTCCAACCATTGGTTACGAAAGTCACACGGACCCCAACCAAGTAGTCTGCATCTACCAACATGGCTCAGACTAGAGGTTAGTGTCTTCAAGCACTGATGCCACGTTTTGGTTTGGCCGCCCCTAATTCTCTTCCAACCATCTCTAACACCCGTTAGCATTGCGCAACGTGGTAATCGGTGTTCAGGCATACGTAACACGTGGCCCAAACCATCTCAGTCGAGGAAGATTCACAAATTCATCAACTGATTTACCATAATTCCCTAATACCCTGCGTCTAACCTCACTATTACTTACCCGGTGATCCCAACAGCCGCCAGTAATATTTCTAAGGCATCTGTGGTCAAATACTAGTAGCTTACGAGTGTCTTCTACTCTTAAAGGCCATGTTTCACTGCCGTAAAGTAAAACAGAACGGACTGCGGCGCAGTATACTCGTCCTTTTATTGATAAACGGATATCTCGCCTTCGGAGGTATTAGGAGGTGTAGGAAGAATTTGAATGTGACCAACTTGGCCTCGTGTACTGTTACGGGTATGAAGACTGATATCACTTCCCGACTGCCCACACCGTGGAAGGGTATTTCTTGAGGAACCTGAAAAGGAAGCTGGATTAGTGTTGGTCTTGACGACCTGGGAGCGCGACCACAAAACCCAAGGGACAAATGCTTGAGGGCGGTCGCGCAAGGCCTTTTTGTGGGGGTTTCTTAATGTGCTAGCTCCGTTCTTCAAAGGGCCTTACCGACGGAGACGGAAATCCGTGAGGTAAGGTGAGGTGTGACATTTTTAGGGCCGACCTTTTCTAGCCCCACCCCTCCTTGTGGGAAGGCAGCATCGCTGTCATGCTGGTTGTCCGAGGGAAACACCTTACTGCTGTCACACCTCTCTACAGTCAGCAGTACGACTTCTCCCTCGGACCTTGAGTTGCTGCTTTTAGTCTTACCGTTCTCCAATCGACCTGCCTGGCATGGTAGAACCTACAGGAACAAATGTTCCAGCCAATATAGCTCGGTTGGGTCATCACGATAGGCAAGCCCGACCACCGCGTCAAAGTACATGAAGTCACTGACAAGTGGTCTGAGTCATGTTGGTAGGTGTAGACTACCTGGTTGGGGACCGCGAGATGATAGCAACCGATGGTTAGAGACCCTGAATGACATGGCTCAAAATCGTTTGCAATGACGCAGGTGCATCCACTCTTTGTGTTCTCCCAAATTCTAATCTTCTGAATTCTTCATGTCCCTTTTTTCCTCTTTCCAAATTTATTTCACTGAATTATACTCCTTAAATAACATCTCCAAACCCTAATCTTCCCGATCATTGCTTACACTCTCGCTACCTCTACCACTACGGGATTTGGATCGACAACTGCATCTCTGTGTTAAGCTGGTGTGGCAACTCGAACTGATGTACGTACGTACGAAGTTCTACGTTGTTACTGACTGACTGACTGATCTCGCCTTCGCCATAGGTGACGTAAGTTGGCAAAAGCCAAACCAGCTTTTCGAATCCGTGCTGAGATTTCGTCCGATACCAACCCATTAGGGCTGATCAGACTTCCAAGATAAGTGAAGTTGTCAACGCATTCGACCACTTCGCTCCCTATCCTTAGTTCAGGTGTTGACGCAGGCCAGTCCTGAAGCAATAACTTGCATTTAGAGGGAGAGAAGCGCATTCCAAACATTCTGGCATTGTTGCTTAGTGCTACCAAAAGACTGTGCATTTTATCAGCGTCCTCACCAAACAGGACTATATCATCTGCGTATTCTAAGTCGATAAGTGGACCTCCTGGAAGGAGATCAATACCCGAAAATTCAGTCGACGAGAATGTTATTTCCATTAGTAGGTCTATGATGAAGTTAAACAGAAATGGAGAAAGTGGACAGCCTTGCCGGACACCACTTGAGGTTGCAAAAGTAGATGACAGTTCGCCATAAGCTCTGACTCGACTAGTAGTGTTCTAGTAAAGAGCCTTTACAAGGTTTATGTACTTCTGGGGTACGCCTTTCAATGACAGACACTGTCACAGAATCTCGCAGTCTACCGAGTCAAATGCTGCTTTTAAGTCAAGAAAGACCACCATCGTCGGACGTCGGTAAGTATACCTGTGTTCTAGAACCTGACGAATGGTGAATATGTGGTCGATGCAGCCACAACCAGGTCTGAAGCCAGCTTGATTTTCTCCTGTTTGCAGTTCACGAGTCATAGTTAGGCGTCTGATTATTATTGAGGCTAGTATTTTAGATACTATATTTGTTAAACTAATCCCTCTGTGGTTGTCACAAGATGATTTTGATCCTTTCTTATATATTGGGACGATAAGTGATGGCAACCAGTCAGATGGAATAACATCTAACTCCCAGATCTTAGCTAAAATATTAGTCAACCTAACCGCTAAAATTGGACCACCATCCTTAAAGACTTCTGGAGCCAATCCATCTGGACCAGCAGCCCTTCCTCGTTTCAGATTAACTATAGCCTTTTGAACTTCTGCTAAAGTTGGGAGACCTACTTCAATGTTCCATTCACATTGTCTGGGAATGGAGGGTAGTTGTAGAGTAGCTGAAGGCCAGTTGAACTGTTCTCTAAAATGTTCTGCCCATCGTTGTAAACGTCTGGACTGAGAGTAGATGAGAGTATCGTCTTTTTCCGAAATAATCTCACTTACACTTGACTTATTAATTCCAGTTTCTTTTATTAGTCTGTAAAGCTGTCTTGTGTTCCCTATAGTCGCCGCCTTTTCCATCTCTTTTGCTTCCGCTACCCACCACTGCTCACGGTCGTTCGTTAGACTTTTTCTTAACGTAGATCTGATTTGTTGTCGCTCTTCATCATGTTCGGAACCTGATGGGACGAGTTTGCGAGAATCCATCAGTCTGATAGACTTTGAAGAAAGTCTACTGGTTCTTTGTAACTCTGTGGTTTAAATCACTAATAGATTTCATCGCTGTTTCCACAGCTGTTTGTATATCTTTCCAAGCAACATCTGGGTCAGCCTCATTTTCAGAACTACCTAAGTGTGACCTCAGTTGTTCCTGGAACTTACTTTTGGTTTTCTCGTTACTCAACTCAGTTCTAATGGGTCTTTTTAATGTGGCTTTTTGCGTCCAGTGAGGTGCAAGCAGATGCGTGCCCGTATTAGGGCATGGTCAGAGTCCAAGCAGGTACTCCAGAGTGAGCGACAATCTTCTACCGACCCTCTCCAACGATGGCTGATGGCAATATGGTCTATTTGAGTCCATCGTTGGTTTGGTGTAGGGGGTCACCATGTTAGACGATGTCTTTCCTTATACTTAAAATTTGTGTTTGCTAAAACTAAACGATTGTCTGAGCATAGTTGCGGCAGACGATCACCATTATCTGTTCGTTGTGCCGGTATACTAAAATACCCACATAAATGCCTTTCGGTTTGGTTTAAACTACCTATCTGGGCATTAAAGTCACCTGCTACGAGTAATATGTCTGAACGTTTAGCTTTCTGAAGAAGTTCAGATAGCTTTCTGTAAAATTCATCTTTCATTTCATCTGAGCTGCAGTCGGTGGGAGCGTAGGCAGAAACGACAAAAAGGCAACGACGTGTGTCCCTATCCTTCCGAGTTCTTACGGAGCCGTTTAGCCGGACAGCACATAGACGACTGTTGACGGGGATCCACTCTAACAGTGCTTGTTCAGCCCTCATGCTTAGTGCTATGCCTACTCCTGCCAATCCACGAGAGCTGGCCATCAGGTCACCAGATACACGGAGGGTGTATCTCGTTGGCTCTCCGTTTTGCCGAGGTGAGGTCAAGTGAATGACCACACTGGGATCCTGTATGCGTATTTCGGAGACACAGCATACATCAATGGTACGAGATTCTAGGGTTTTAGCCAAGGAAGCCTGCTGACCGATTTGACATAGGGTGCGTACGTTGAAGGCTCCAATGTGTAGTGTGGAGCGAGGTTCCAGTAGACCTGGGACAGTGTTTTGAGCACTAGAATCGTTGGCTATGGTGACAATTGAGGGGGAAGCTGAAAAAAAGAAGTTTAGAGTTTGAAGTTGATGTAGGAGGAATAATAGGAATTAAAGAGGGAGGTTGAGTATGAATCCAGTGGTCTTGAGTGCTGTTAGAGGTATGAGGGTGGTTATCACTTCCCGGTTGCCCACACCGTGGAAGGGTTGTTCTGGAGGTACCTGAAAAGGAAAATGGATTATAGGTGGTCTTAGTGACCTGGGAGCGTGACCGCAGTGACCAAGGGACAACTGCTTGAGGTCGGTCACACACGACCTTTTCATGGGCAATTTTCGGGCTAGCTCCGTACTTGTTGAGACCTTACCACCGGAGACGGATATCCGTGGGATAAGGCGAGGTGTGCATTTTTACGGTCGACCTTTTCTAACCTCACCCCTCTTTGTGGGAAGGCAGCATCGCTGTCATGCTGGTTGTCTGAAGGAAACACCTTACTGCTGTCACACCTCTGTACAGTCAGCAGTACGACTTCGCCTTCGGACCTTGGGTTTGTTGCTTTTAGTCTTACCGCTCTTCAACCGACCTTTCTGACGTGGTAGGACCTTGAGGAACAGTTGTTCCATTCAGTATAGCTCGGTTGCTTCATCACGATAGGCAAGCCCGACCACCACATCAAGGTAGCAACAACGGTCGGTTGTATACAGTACAGTACGACACGATAATTAGATTAGAGATATCTTTTTCTTTATAGTTCAGTCAATTTTTTTACACAGACATATATAACATGACTACTCCACTTGTCACACCTTAGACATTTGAAGTTTGGTACAGGTCTACAGAACTTGAGATTTAGTAAACAATCAAGCTAATATATGAACGCTTTTTGTGAACTCGATAGTGGCGACAGAGACAAAAATTTATTTTTTATTTATTTGAGCACATAAACAATGGTACAAGGGGACACCAAATACACATGCGTCACATAATAACAATGAGGCCAGTGGCAATTATCAATGATACTGCCCAGGCACCCAAACCGAAGCACGTTACAGGGACAAAGAACAGTTTAACCATTAACCGCTAACAATAGGAGAAAACGAAATGTAGAAATTTTGATATTTAGGCAAAAGAACTCAAAATGATTTAACTCAGTATATATGTAGTAATAAGAACATGAACCTGAGACGTACATAAAATTAGCGGACCACAAATTACTGAAAAACCAATCAGTAAAAAAGAACAGACCAAAGATCATGTAAACAAGATTTAGAATTTCAAAAAAGGAAAAGCGATTGAAGTTACCGTTATTGTTAGTAAAAAGTTATTATCAACACACAAAAAAGAACTAAGTAATCTGTGTGATTGTTTTAGCAATGCCCAACCCACTTTTTTCTTAATAACACCAGGTTAAAACATTCAAAGGTATTGTTTAGTAAAACAAAATACATAAAAATCAATGCATCAAGTAATCCATTAAAAAGACCATATATAAATAAATATTTACCTTTTAATGCACGAGCCTTCCGGTAAGAACAATCCCAGTAGTTGTAATAATCCATAGAGAAGGAAAGAAAGTAAGGAATGTAAAAAAATGTACACTGGATTTAATATTCTAATATGTCAGTAAGTGAAATTCGCCTGGTTGATATTTCAGCTAAACCATGCAACATCTACAACCATGATCGGTCGAGAGAATCCCAACTTGATAGTTTGCATTAACCAACTAACCAACCAACGCAGCTTAGTTCAATAGTCAATGACTTTATGAACTGAAATAAAATAGTTGGAACATGTATTACGTAGTATTAACCACACCATCTAACTTAACATGATATCTGTTGATATAAGAACAGATTGGAAGAAAGCTAGGGGAAATTTTGATTTGGTCGCCCATTCCCCCTAGCTTCCTTTCAATCTATACCTATATTGGCAAAAATATCACGTCGAGGTAGGTGTTGTGGTCAAGGCTATGTAATACATGTTCCAACTACCTTATTCAATAGAGATTCACTGCTTAATCAACTGATTCATCATGTTTATTTAGCAACATGCATGTACTCGCAATAGGGCTTACTCTCAGTGATCCAAACATGCGCTACATATGCATCAAAGTTATCTATGATCAAATACTAATAACCCATTTTTAAAAGCCACAATCCACAGTGATGTAGTAGAGCAGAACGAACTGATGCGTAGTATGCTCGTCAGGCAGATGGACATCTTGCCTACGCCACAAGTGAGTCATGCTAATAAGAGCAAAGCGAGCTATGCAAACCGGTTACTCACACTTTCCACATCATATTTCTAATGGTTAAGACGAGATTTGTGGAGACTAATCAATTTAAAGGATAGTTTACATCATGGACTGACTAGATTTGGTTATGAACAGTTATTAAAGACCAAGGAGCACCGAACAACTATTTTTAAACGAACTGTGACTTATCAGAAGTGTATGCACCTACAACACTATCACTGATTGAACCCACAACCTTGGAGTTTTGCAGCGGCCATGTTTTTTACTACCTAATCACTAAAATTATAGTGCGCAATGGGTGCTAATGGACAATAGGATTTAATGTAAATAAACAATTCCTATTAAAAAAGAAAACAACACAAGAGACAACCACTGTGTTTTGATGTTTGGATACGCGTTTAGTGTACGTACCTTCACCTCCCAATTGGATATTGTATATTTGGCTAAGAGTTGCTGGATTTTCGATTCCAATTTTTTAGAGTCCAAACTGTTAGGATTGAATTCTGATAAGAATTGTTCATTAATGACACGTAAACCATAAGAACGTGCAGTTGTCAGTGCTTCTTTCGAGTAAGTTTTATTCGTATCATTATTATCACTTTGAATTTGTTCCAATTCGTTCAATGTGGAGACAACAATTGAATTAACACTGAGCTACATTGCGAGTAATAATAATTATTATTATTGTCATCATCATTGTGGGATTCCCACAATTTTTAATAAGTGATCGATTAACACACAAAAATTAACAGGTTTATACGAAACATCAAGCGGTAGAATAGTGAATAGGTTCAGGAATTAAAATATATGCGGTTCAGGTGGATGGCTTTCGGTAGTATTTTGTCCAACATAAATGTGGCTAGGGAGGAAAGTTCAATGTTTCTCTAGATTATAGAAACTCTAAGAATTCTAGAGAATACATGAAAGTATAAAATTCCGACTGACAACCAATTGATAAACATCTAATACATTAAACCGTACGGTAGAGATCAAGCACATGATCGGAGGTCAACCAAACTAAATAGTCAACTTGAATACGAGGAGAAATAAAAAACGAAACCTATGAAGATAGTCAGTCACAAAAAAGACCATTAGAACGAACTAGTTCAACAATTGTGACAACATTAAGAAGTACACTTGTACATAAAGTAAGCGCCGATGATGTCCAGGAAGGAAATGAAAGCTATACAACTAAGTCGTTTAGCTCAGAAAATCCAATACCACTAAAACTGAGAAATATTATTCAAGAGAAAAGGATTAGCTAGAAAACATTTATTGACTGAATTGAATAGCATATATTTACTACACACAAAGGTAGAGGCTGGTTGAATCAGATGACTTTCAAACAGTAGTACTTCGTAGATCCGATTTATGTATTTATTTAAACAAATAAATATTGCTAGAAAAATTAGCATCAAAATATGTATGCGCCATATGATAAAAATTACATTGTGAAAAGATAGAGAAAGGAAGGTAATCATAGTAATTTTAATAGTTGAGATCATGAGTCAGTTGAAGCTAGATTACCATGGGAAACCTGGAAGTACTGGACGGCCGTTCCGTCCTCTTGTGGGACTGCTCAGCAGTGTGCATCCATGATCGCGCCTTGCGAGTTTCAAACCCAGGACCTATCACAAATTCAGTTAAACTTATGTCAAAAAATGTTAATAGAGAAATAAAGAAGTCATGATGAACAACGGAAGCTAATGTTTTTTTTGCGGGGGGAACATGACTTCACTTAATGTTTGTAAAATACTAACACTTAGTTTTGTCACTGATTTGTTTTATAAACCATAAGCTTTCGTTTGATGTATAATTCATTCCCATACTCTTTTCTTTTCCAAATTTATTGTAATTTAAACGTAATCCTTTGTATCACATTTTTCTATCATGATGTCTAAGTTTGGTTATGATTGAATTTTTGTGCGCTGTGGTCGTGTTAATCATCTATTTATTTACATATCTTCTTACATTAACCTGAATTAGGAATAAATCGAGTAGTGTTCCAGTTGACTTATCTTCTCTTCCTCGCTTGTCAACCAATAAGGACATAGAAAAGTTCTCATCTCTCTGACCAAGGTCGTTAGTCTCAATTCGAACTCAAAAAAATTTCAAACATGAGGTTGAACCAGTTAACTTATCGTGTCAAAGCCTTAACATAGATCGAGACAAGATTTCTCCTGTATATTATTGAGGAAACTGGTAAAGGATGTTTGCTTGAAACGATAAATCACTCCATCAACTCTGTTGATGAAATGGAGAACATATAAATGTCAACAGTATCATCGATTATAGTGTCAGAGAAATATTTGCATACTTTGTTCACTAAATATTTCCTAGAAGAAATAGTAATAATATTAAGGGGAGCTGGGTTTTAGAAAGTTATCTGTTGAAATAAATCTGAGTGCTAAAGTTATACAAAATTCATTCAACAAAGTAGTTTAAGCCATAGAGATTTTATCATTATCCTTTTACACCAATATATTTGTATTATTTCCACCTGTATTTAAAACACTCCTAGAATTCACAAACGTCAGATTATTCAGCTGCCTTATCGTTTCACTTTTCTTCAACATCAAACACTTCCATTGGAATCCCGAGCTGATCTAAGTGAGACAACCACCGAAAACATATAAGTATTTGACGGCGGTTCCGTTCTAGTATGGGATACCATAACAGTGTGCATCTGTGACTCCGCAATAGGGAATCAAACCCAAGAACTTGATTTCGCATGCAAACCTGAAGAGTTCCATACGTTGACCAAACGACCGTCCAATGCTTCCAGTTTTTAGTGGTTATCCAACTTAGGTAGGTTTGTGACCAATGAAATGCAACAATCTCTACAACCCTATACTTACAATCAAATATTTTTTCAGAATTATGTATACAAACTCGATAAATTCGTCTTATTAGGACAGTTTCAAAGCAGCAGGAAAACATGATATGATAACAAATATCCGATGTTCCCACAATACAGAATGCCGATGATCACGTTGGATTTTCATCACCATCGCAGTTTTCACGAACTACGCTGAAAATCTTGGTTCAATTGAAAAATGCCTCCTTTTACTACTATCTTTGTTAAGAGAAACCTTCGACGTTACATGAATTTCTTTATAGTTTTTCTTAAGTTACAGTATCCTAGCATCAACAGATAATGTAGATACAAGCCCCTGTACTGAATTTTAATAGTATGATAGAGTATAGGTATATCATGTACCTGTGTCTAGTTTTCGATTTAAGAGATCAAACAACATATGAGGAAATACTGACGAAACGGGCCACCAGAAGACGTCGATTATGCCCTTAGTCAAGATCTCCAAACTATGTACTTGTTTAAATCAGGGTATATATATATATATATATATATATATATATATATATATATATATATATATAATTTATGTAGATTACACTTCTGCTTGATAATAGTCTTTCTACTAATTTCACTCTTCTCATTTGCTTGGCAGGTTCGGGTTTATTATAGGAAACCCATGTCGTAACATGATCTGATTTGACGACAGAAGGTCTTGTTTTGTATGAAGACCAAGGATACTATCCCACTGTTCAAATAGAAGTAAGCGGACTGAAATTGAACCTTAAACCCGAAGGATGATATACATACATATATACATTTGAATGTTCAAACCTGTATTGACACTATCTTTCTCTAATATTTTGTGAAAAGCAAGAAACACAACAACAATAAAGAACGACACAAGCAGTTAAAGTGCATACTTTACTCATAATAGCACCACCTAGATTGGCCAATTCACGTATTAATTGTTCTTTTGTTTTTCCGCTGTCGAACGGTCCATTTGTAATGTAGAAAAACAGGCCAGTTAATGGACCAGTAACATCAGACACTGAATCAGGTGGAAATAATCGTGTACGCTTAACATATTTGTAATTTTTTCTGGTCAAGTTGAAAAACAATGGAAGAAGAGTCGATTGAACCAACAAATGTATACAAAATAGAGTATTTTTGATGAATTTAAGCGAAACAAATGAAACCAAGTGTAAAGAGGTTTAGAGCTTTTAACCATAATATTGCAGATGCGAACCCTGTGCACCGAATTCATTTCGGGCAATCACATAGTATTATTATTATTATTATTATTATTATTATTATTATTAAACGACGCAAATCAAGATTGTTGCTCGAATCTGAAAACCTAAGTCTTTATTTCACCATAACTTACCACGTTATCAACAGTACATTTATTAGTTATGTATTTATTCTCAGAAGTAAACTTCAGCCCTCCTGGTCTACTGTTATCAGACTGATCTACTGGGAATAATACATAATAATGGATAAGTATTCGGGGTAATATGGCTTGATCAACGAGTTAGTATGACAGGCAAGCAAGAGTAATGTATTGAGGACTGATTTGGTCATGGAGCTTTCATCGTTATTCTGAAAGACATCATCAGCACAAATTTCAGATAGAAGTAAAGTGTTCTGATTTCTCCACATGGTTCACAGCTTGTCCTGTAAACCTCGATCTTGATTGGTTATTACTGACGTTTAACCTGACATTGTCTACTCCTTTATTTTGATTGTATCTCCCAATGATTTGATTGTCGGTTCTATATTTGTCCATAATTTTTCCGATTGGTTGAATCGATTTCAATGTCTTTGTTGACTGACCTGAGTGCTAAGCTCCTAAATATTCTATGGCGTTTTTAGAATTGCCTCTATCCAAGATCTCAACACTTTCCCAGTCGAATGTATGTGCACAGTTGTCTACATGCATTGATATAAGCGAGGATATGTCATGGCATTTGACCGCTAATTCATATTCGTGCAGGTGAAGATGAAGAGGGCGTTGTCCAATGTAGTGTTTTTCGAAGTTGGAACAATTTATTTTGTAGATGATGTTCAGCTTTTCTTCCTTTGTCATTTCGGCCTTTGGTTTGAATAGGATTGATTAGAGAGATTTTGTTGGTTTGTGTGCTACACCTATTCCAAAAGACTTCAACAACGTCGTTGTTATTTCTGATATGTCTTTTATATATGGTAAGATGATTCATTTGTTGTTTTCTGTACTTGATTTTGTTTCTGCTGATGCGTTTGGTTGATATTTTTTGATGAAGTTGATTGGGAAGCTGTTCTTCAAAAGATAGTCTTTAGATATTTTTGTTCATTTTTCCGCGTCGCAAGTGTCCTCGCCCTCTTGAACAAGAAGGTAGTGAGTAGGACTTCCCTGGCAGTGGCTGTATACGCGTGGCCATGTGAGAGCATTTCGAGAAGGAGACCTAACTTTCCTGACCTTCAGCCGTACCGAGGCACTTCGGAGCCCGTATGTGGAGAAATCCGAACACTTCACTTCTACCTGCAGCTTGTGCTGATGATGTCTTTCAGAATAACGATGAAAGCCCCATGACCAAACCAACTAGCTCAGAGAACAAAACTCTACCAAAAACTGTAGATAGGTTCCTTCTGATGAATATCAAGTAGCGTGATTATGGGCTTCCTGTAGATCAACACTAACCACTCAACACATCGAAATCTGTTTGTTCGTATCTACATATTACATAATAATAGCTTTTTTAAAGGGAATTTATCTACTGTTCCTTCCGTTTTTAATTGCTGAATCACTTACTATATTTCATTCTTAGCTTTTGATACTTTATTATTTAGCTATTTATCTACACAGATGTTCGCTGTAATAAAATTTTTACACCAAGAATGTTAATAGTTTTGTCGTAAAATGCAACCCCTTTCCCTTCTTACTTGTGCAGATATTACGTTGGTTGTATTGTAAACATGACTGGTTACTCAATGACTATGAGTTTGATGGGTTTAAAACGGAACTGATGTTACAGAACATTGTTGCCATGGTGCCAAAGGTAGCTCAAGATCGACATAAAAACAACCTTGGATCTTACAATATGAAGATTGATCATATATAACCTACAGTGACAGATGTCAAAATCTGGGACAAATATTTGTCGGTGCGGATAAATCAACCTCTCTGATGTGTACGTTACTTTGATGATACATTTCAAGATAGCATAACATAACATTAAAATGAGAAAGCCCAAATTCTAGTTCAAGTGAATTCCAATTGTATCTCAGTCACTTTGTAACATATGTAGGACATCCAAAACCATGCTACACAATATATGGATTAGAGATTATATTTTACAGTGCTGTTACGTGAATTTACTTTTTAAGATGTAGTAACTAAATTTGACTATTGGATTGTTTATACCATCAATGAAAATAATAAACTTACAGAAAATCAACATCATGATATTCCTCAGGTATTTTAAACTTTCTTCGATCAGGTGTCCGTGTATAATAAAGGCATTGAACCCATTCAGTTGCCATAGCACTACATTTAAACTGTCCATTACTATAATGTAATGGTCCATTTTTACAACTAGGACAATATGGTAAAGCACCGAATATCATAGCGTCAGCAACTGCATCTAATAGACGAGATAATCCAGATGGAACATGTTGTTTATTGTACTCCAATAAACCAATTAGCGCCTCTTTGGATACTTGACTTTCTAGTTTATCTCTTAAACTCCATAATAATTTATTTTGTTTACGTAATTCATCCTGGGATACAATAAAACAATAAGCATTTGTCAATATATATATATATATATATATATATATATATATATATATAGAGAGAGAGAGAGAGTTGGTGTCTAAATTGAAGGCTGCAGATTACAGCTCCGTTTGATTTACTTCATTTCGTGCAACCAGTTAATAACTTTAACCCATATACAGTAAATGTGGCTCACTACCGAGTTAATGAATCTGTACTAGTAAAACTTATATTAAATCAGTAGTAATCGTATTGAATAAATAAAAGTAGAGTTAATTCATTCATTTATTCACTCACTCACTAACCTGTTCAACATCTCCATTTAATTTAGGCTTTTTCAATTTTGAATCTTGTTCAGTTTGCTGTCCAGGACGTTTACGATTTTCCCTTAATATATAGACACAGAAAAATATGTAATACAAATGAGAATGTATACAATATGCCCTTTTTAAATAAAAAAAACTGCACAAAAGTCGTGAGGAAATATTGCTATTCGAAACACCACATTGCGTTATGAGGTGAATAAAGTGGTAAACTTAGTGAATCAACTAATACTCGAATAATACAGTTGGCTGATCGAATCCAATTTAACTCAGCTGTATATGATATAAGTCGCTCCCTATCTTCCGTTATTTAAATGTCATTAAGAAAAGTATTGTCTATACATTAGAATACTGAGAATACAGAAGCTTGCATGAATAATAATTTGGCAAAACAGTTTTTCATGTACATTCCTGTCTTTCTAATAATAATTAATGTGAGTGGTTCGTAAAGGTTATTGAGTTTCAGAGTTTACAACTTTAAGTGACTTAATTTAGATGACCACTGGAAAGCAACAAGAATTGGAGATCCACTTCTTTACAGTGCAAAACTCCTCAGCAGTACGTAAATATCACCCAAACGGAGATCGAACACAGGACTTTGTGATGAGCACTTCATTTTTAAGACCACTGGGTTAGTATGCAATGACTTACATTTTTAACTTCAGTCAATTGACAATAGGGCCTAACTATCTTCCAGTGCTATTTGTGGGTAACTGTCTCACACCCGATGTGGTCATTGTTTTCCATTAGAACTCCGGGAATCAGCTCTCGAAATTAATCATTAGTGAGTACAAAATACTGATACTGAATAGTTATTGCTGCGATTTTACATCCTGACCCAGTGGTTTTCTTTTCAAATGGTTAGAAAACATATGCTTCCCTAAAGACTACACACTTTATTGTATTGTCACCTTGACGTAGTGATCAAGTTTCACTATTTTTATGTCCCAAATAAGCTAGAATAACTAGGATACTCATGTTAACTGGAAAGTCATATGACTAAAAGTAGTGTTTCAAGTAAGAGATTAAGATTTTACTCGTAATTTTGCAGAGTAAGAGGCAAGAAATCAAAGAACGATACACAAAAGTATCATACATTTCGCCATACTGATTTTCCACTGAGGTGTCAATGTTTCAGAAAGTAAGGAATGATACCATGAAACCAACAAAAATTACAAAAAAGCCATGAGTAACTGATGTCAAGAGATCTTCCCATGAGCGCGCCCTCCAGTAACGCTAGTACACCAAATTTTACTACCAGTATTACAGTCCATTCTACTCATCTCGAATTCATCTACCTATATACACTTAAATTCCCAATTGATAAAACTCAATTTGAGTCAGAAAATAGATTTCATTAAACATAAAAATACACGTTATACTTTTATGGTACCTGGACACATGGCAATTGATTTGTCTAAACATTTTTTTAATTGTACATATGACACATCAGACGTACAAAAGTGTGGTGTTTTTCGAGGGGAACGCATTTTTTCATTAAGTGATTTCATAAGGACAGAAAAGGGTTACAAACAACACTTTTTATATATACATAAGCTCTGTCGGGGAATAAATGAAATAATTTACTAACAAGTAGAAATATGGTAAAAATTATGTCAAGTTGGTAAGATTATATACAACAAAGTGAATATTAAAAACATGATCATAAAAATATAATTAGCATTATAGGTGTATATAAATAGCGTACTTTGAGTTTTCACGAAATGCCAAAACAACTGCATCCTGATCGACAGTCGATAATTTACGAAAACCTATCAGTCTAGAATGGATGTAAACGAGAACATAATCAACGAAAAATATATGCGATTTCGACCACTATATTTTACGCAAAACGAAATTAGCGCAACATAAAAGTGAAGTAGAAAAACTAAGAGGAAACAGCAGAATACTTTATTGGTTAAGTCAGTACTTTTATTTATTTAATACACATTAAATATGGCATACCTTGGCACCATGAATAGTATGCACTACATAATATTTGTGTGCAAGCTGAGAAACTGCTCAGACGTTTAAAATGAAACAGGTGGTCTATTTGGGAGACCACCCCAAGGGCATCTGACCTAAGAATTTAATCCACAAGGGAGTAGAACAACATCTGGAGACGATATTACATGGTAGCCAGTAACGAAAACGGTTACATAAGCCACTCATTCTCTAAAGATACTAGAGCATATACACAATATTGCTTTGAAATCAGAGTTTTCCAACTCCCCACAGTGAGTCTTACGCACCCACCAGCTCGGTTTCGCGACCGTAGCTGCTACCTTGACATGGTGGTCGGGCCTGCCTATCGTGATGACCCAACCGAGCTATAATGGCTGGAAAATATGTTCCTATAGGTTCTACCATGCCAGGCAGGTCGATTGGAGAACGGTAAGACTAAAAGCAGCAACTCAAGGTCTGAGGGCGAAGTCGTACTGCTGACTGTCGAGGGCTGTGACAGCAGTAAGGTGTTTCCCTCGGACAACCAGCATCTATAGCGATGCTGTCTTCCCACAAGGAAGGAAGGGGTTAGAAAAGGTCGGCCCTAAAAATGTCACACCTCACCTTACCTCACGGATTTCCGTCTCCGTCGGTAAGGCCCTTTGAAGAACGGAGCTAGCACATTAAGAAACCCCCACAAAAAGGCCTTGCGCGACCGGCCTCAAGCATTTGTCCCTTGGGTTTTGTGGTCGCGCTCCCAGGTCGTTAGGACCAACACTAATCCAGCTTCCTTTTCAGGTTCCTCAAGAAATACCCTTCCACGGTGTGGGCAGCCGGGAAGTGATATCAGTCTTCATACCCGTAACAGCACACGAGGCCAAGTCGGTCACATTCAAATCCCTCCTACACCTCCAAATAAATCTCTTATCTCCACGACTAACCCTTCTTATATCCCTTTATCACCTCGCACCGCTAGGGCAAACGATTCGACTACGCGGAACGTTATTCCTGGTCTCCTGAAACCACGCTCTAAACTACACGTAGGAGCTTTTAACGTCCGAACACTGTGCCAAATAGGACAACAGGCTTCTTTAGCTAGGACTTTAGAATCTCGCGCCAAAAATGTATGCTGCTTCTTCGAAACGCGCACACAGGATCTGAATAGAGTCATTCATTTGACTTCACCATGTCAAAGTAACGAACCAACTCAATTTACGCTTCATGTATCTGAAAGCCCTGATGCTGCCTCCCGTGGCCTCGCTGGCGTAGGTATAGCATTGAGTTTTAGGGCAGAACTAGATCTCTTAGACTGGATCCTAGTAGACAGTCGTTAATGCGCAGTCCGACTGAACGGAACAGTAAGGACTCGGGAAGATAGGGACGCTTGTCGATGCCTCTTCGTCGTCTCTGCCTACTCTCCCACTGACTGCAGTTCCGATGAATTTTACATAAGCTTTCCGATCTTCTCTAAAAAACTAGGCGCTCTGATGTAGTAATAGTGGCTGGTGACTTTGATGCTCAAGTAGGTAAACAAAGCGAAAGGGAAAGACATCTGGGTGGATCTTATGGTGTCGCGGCTCAAAGAACAGATAATGGCGACCGTCTGTTGCAGCTATGCTCAGATAACCGCCTGCTCCTTGCAAATATTGACTTTGAGCATAAGGAAAGACATCTTTTAACATGGCGACCCCCTAATTCGTCCCAACGTTGGACCCAAATAGATCACATCGCTATCAACCACCGATGGAGGGACTCGATAGAAGACTGTCGCTCAATCTGGAGCATGTGCTTAGACTCAGATCATGCTCTAGTGCAAGCGCGTATTTGTCTACATCTTACTGGACATAGGCAAGACGATGCAAGGAAACCCCTTAGGGTCCTACTTAATGATAGTCAAGCTAAGAGTTAGCGAAACTATCTCAGAAAAAGATGGACATATTATTCATTCTTAATCCAGGAGGTTGGATCGATGGGCAGAGCACTTTAGGGATCAGTCCAACTGACCTTCAGCCACACTTCCATTTCCCATGATCTCCAGTCGACCTGAATGTCAAGCTGATATAACTCCTTCTACTTTATGGCAGTGAAACATGACCGGTAAAAGTGGAGAATATTGGTAAGTTACTAGTATTCGATCATAGATCTCATCGAAACATTGCTCGTATATCCTGAGACCACTGAGTAAGTAATGCAGTGGTTAGGACACGGGTACTAGGTAAGGATGGCAAATCGATTGATAAAGTCATGAAACTTAATCAGTTGAGATTGCTGGGACACGTGTTACGTATGCCCAACGACCGACTGCCTCGACGTGCGATGTTCAATGGTATATGAGGTTGAAAGAAAGCTACGGGCGGCCAGACCAAAACATGGCACAAGTCCATGAAGTCACTGACAAGTGGTCTGAGTCACGTTGATAGGTGTAGACTACCTGATTGGGGACCGCGAGATGATAGCAACCGATGGTTAGAGACCCTGAATGACATGGCTCAAAATCGTTTGTAATGGCGCAGGTGCATCCACTCTTTGTGTTCTCCCAAATTCTAATCTTCTGAATTCTTCATGTCCCTTTTTTTCTCTTTCCAAATATATTTTACGAGATTATACTTCTTGAATAACATGTTAAAAGCCTAATGTTTCCGATTACTGCTTATACTTTTCCTACCGCTACCACTACGGGATTTGAATTGATAACTGCATCTCTGTGGTAATGTGGTATGGCAACTCGGACTGATGTGCATACGTACGAACTTCCACGTTGTTACTGACTGACCGACCAGCTCGGTTTAAGCTCTGGAAGTGGGCTTTCCGACTTCTTATTTCCTAAACAACACAACTAACGTGCTAAGGCAGTAATTAGGACTTACCTGAAATACGCTGCATGAGGGGACTTAGGGGCAAATCAAATGACTGATTCATAGTTGTGCTTGCTTATTTTCGTATGGTGTACCAAATAACACGAAGCGTTTATAAGCAATTAACCAAAAATATTTTTATTCGTCATTATTTGCATTAAGAAACTCACTCCAACTGTCATAATTCGATTCTCTTTAACTATGTTTTATTTAACAAACAGCATACCAAATCTCTTACAAATTATTCTATTAGGCGAAGATGACAACTCGTTCCAACCAGTTTAACAGGTGGATTTGTACACTTTATACACTATATCAGTCATTATAGTATGGATGAACTCTGATCGTAGCTGTAACCTCGATGTGGTTATCGGGTTTAAAAATCGTAAAGACCCAACCAAGCTACATTGGCTGCAACACGTGTTGCTTTACGTCCGACCATCCCAAGCATATAGATTGGAGAGCAGTAAGATGAAACTCATAGTCTAAAGGCAACGTCTTGCTTCTTATCATAGAGAGGTGTGACGACATTACTGTTTACCCCAGACAGTCAACATCTAAAGCTATCTTACCTTCTCACAACGGAAGGAGGCATCAGGAAAGTCAACTATGGAAATAAAACACTACCTTGCCTCACGGATTCCCAAATAGACAAACATCCTTGAAAAGTATGGAGCTAGCACTTCTAAAACTACTCACTAAAAGATCGTGTTTGACCAGCTCCAATCAGTTATTGCTTAAGTAATTGAAATCACGCCTTCAAGTTATTAACGTCAATAAAAACCCGATTTCCGTATCAGGTCCCTCTAAAGGAGTATCTTTTTATGGTATGGAGAATCTGGAAGTGATAACTGCCCTCATGCCCTAAGAAGTGCTCGAGAACACCTCGTTTCAGTCAGTCAGTCAGTCAGTCAATAACAACGTAGAACTTCGTACGTACGTACATCAGTTCGAGTTGCCACACCACCTTAACACAGAGATGCAGTTGTCGATTCAAATCCTATTGTGGTAGAGGTAGCAAGAGTGTAAGCAGTGATCGGGAAGATTAGGGTTTGGAGATGTTATTTAAAGAGTATAATTCAGTGAAATAAATTTGGAAAGAGGAAAAAAGGGACATGAAGAATTCAGAAGATTAGAATTTGGGAGAACACAAAGAGTGGATGCACCTGCGCCATTGCAAACGATTTTGAGCCATGTCATTCAGGGTCTCTAACCATCGGTTGCTATCATCTCGCGGTCCCCAATCAGGTAGTCTACACCTATCAACGTGACTCAGACCACTTGTCAGTGACTTCATGGACTTGTGCCATGTTTTGGTCTGGCCGCCCCTAGCTTTCTTCCAACCTACTCCTATACCACTGAACATCGCACGTCGAGGCAGTCGGTCGTTGGGCATACGTAACACGTGTCCCAGCCATCTCAACTGATGAAGTTTCACCACTTCATCAATCGATTTGCCATCCTTACCTAGTACCCGTTTCCTAACAACTGCGTTACTTACTCTATGATCCCAGGATAAACGAGCAATGTTTCGAAGACACCTATGATCGAATACTAGTAACTTACGAATATCCTCTACTCTTACCGGCCATGTTTCACTGCCATAAAGTAGGACGGGACGTACTGCTGCACCGTAAACCCGTCCTTTGGTTGATAGACGGATATCTCGCCTACGCCATAAATGACGCAAGTTCGCAAAAGCTAGTCGAGCCTTCTGTATCCGTGCTGAGATTTCGTCACACACCAGACCACAAGGGCTGATGAGACTTCCAAGATAAATGAAGCGGTCGACACACTCAACTACTTCACTCCCTATCACTAGTTCGGGTGTCGATGTAACTCAATCCTGAAGGAACATTTTACATTTCGAGGGAGAGAATCGCATCCCGAACATGCTTGCATTGTTGCTTAGAGTGGTCAGAAGACAGCATTTTGTCAGCGTCTTCACTAAATAAAACTATGCCATCAGCATATTCTAAGTCAACAAGTGAACCTCCCGGTAGAAGTTCAACCCCTGGAAATTTAGATGAGGAGAGTGTCATCTCTAAAAGTACGTCGACCACAAAGTTGAACAAGAATGGAGAGAGTGGACAGCCCTGACGAACACCACTTGAGGTAATCAATTCTGATGACAGTTCGCCATACGCTCTCACTCTACCAGTTGTGTTCGAGTAGAGAGCCTGAATGAGGTTCATGTACTTCTTTGGTACTCCTTTCAGTGACAAACACTGCCATAGAACCTTACGATCAACAGAGTCAAATGCCGCCTTAAGGTCGAGAAATACTACCATTGTCGGGCGTCTAAACGTGTGTCTGTGTTCTAGAACCTGACGTAGTGTGAATATTTGGTCTATACAACCACGTCCAGGTCGAAAACCAGCCTGATTTTCTCTAGTCTGTTCTTCACGAACTTTGGTTAGGCGTCGAAGTATTATTGAAGCTAATATTTTAGACACTATATTAGTCAAACTGATTCCTCTGTGATTGTCACAAGAGGACTTTTGTCCTTTCTTAAAAACTGGCACAATCAGTGATTGAGACCAGTCATATGGGATTACGTCCAGTTCCCAAATTCTACCTAAGACCTCGGTTAATCTCATTGCTAATACTGGACCACCATCCTTAAAAATCTCAGGAGTAAACCTGTCAGGGCCTGCTGCTCTCCCTCGTTTCAGATTTCCTATGGCTTTTTCAACTTCGTTAAGAGACGGAGGACCTACATTAACTTGCCATTCAGGTTGACTGGGGATCGTGGGAAAGCGAAGTGTGGCTGAAGGCCAGTTGAACTGATCCCTGATGTATTCTGCCCATCCATCCAATCTCCTGGATTGGGGATGAATAATATGTCCATCTTTCTCTGAGATTGTTTCGCTAACGGTCGGGTTCCTAATTCCGGTTTCCTTAACGAGTCTGAACAATTGTCTGCTATTACCTATTGCCGCTGCCTTCTCCATCTCTCTGGCTTTCGCTGCCCACCACTGTTCGCGATCGTTGCGTAGACTTCTTGTCAACTTGCGCTTAAGCTGACTCCGCTCTCCACTATGTTCAGAGCCAGGTGGAATGAGTTTCCGAGCATCTATCAGTGCGATAGATGCTGCTGAGATCCAGTGTTGCTCCCTAACCTTCTGGTTTACCTTACTAGCAGATATCACTGCTGTTTCCACAGCTTTTCGGATATCATTCCATGCTGCCTCGGGGTGGGCATCACATACATGGCTGTCTAACTGTTTTCCTAGTTGTTCCTGAAATATACTCTTAGCTTGACTATCATTAAGTAGGCCCCTAAGAGGTTTCCTTGCAGCGTCTTTCCTACGTCCAGTAAGACGCAAGCAAATACGCGCTCGCACTAGAGCATGATCTGAATCTAAGCATGTGCTCCAGAATGAGCGACAGTCTTCTATCGAGCCCCTCCATCGGTGGCTGATGGCGATGTGATCTATTTAGGTCCAACGTTGGGACGAATTAGGGGGTCGCCATGTTAAAAGATGTCTTTCCTTATGCTTAAAGTTAGTATTTGCAAGGAATAGGCGATTTTCTGAGCATAGCTGCAACAGACGGTCGCCATTATCTGTTCTTTGAGCCACGACACCATAAGATCCACCTAGGTGTCTTTCCCTATCACTTAGTTTACCTACTTGAGCATTAAAGTCACCGGCCACTATTACTACATCATAGCGCCTAGCTTTTCAGAGAAGGTCGGAAAGCTTTCTGTAAAACTCATCTTTTACATCATCTGGGCTGCAGTCAGTGGGAGAATAGGCAGAAACGACAAAGAGGCAACGACGGGTGTCCCTATCTTTCCGGATTCTTACTGTTCCGTTCAGTCGGACAGCGCACAAACGGCTGTCTACTGGGATCCACTCTAAGAGAGCTAGTTCTGCTCTGGGGCTCAATGCTATACCTACGCCGGCGAGTCCACGGGAAGCAGAATCAGGGCTTCCAGATACACGAAGCGTAACTCGAGTCGGTTCTTTATTTTGGCATGGTGAAGTCAAATGAATGACTCTATTCAGATCCTGTGTGCGCGTTTCGAAGAAGCAGCATACATTTTTGGCGCGAGATTCTAAAGTCCTAGCTAAAGAAGCCTGTTGTCCTATTTGGCACAGTGTTCGGACGTTAAAAGCTCCTACGTGTAGTTTAGAGCGTGGTTTCAGGAGACCAGGAATAACGTTCCGCGTAGTCGAATCGTTTGCCCTAGCGGTGCGAGGTGATAAAGGGATATAAGAAGGGTTAGTCGTGGAGATAAGAGATTTATTTGGAGGTGTAGGAGGGATTTGAATGTGACCAACTTGGTCTCGTGTGCTGTTACGGGTATGAGGGCTGATGTCACTTCCCGGCTGCCCACACCGTGGAAGGGTATTTCTTGAGGAACCTGAAAAGGAAATTGCATTAGTGTTGGTCTTGACGACCTGGGAGCGTGACCGCAGAGCCCAAGAGACAACTGCTTGAGGCCGGTCGCGCAAGGCCTTTTTGTGGAAGGATTTTGACGTGTTAGCTCCGTTCTTCAAAGGGCCTTACCGACGGAGACGGAAATCCGTGAGGTAAGGTGAGGTGTGACATTTTTAGGGTCGACCTTTTCTAACCCCACCCCTCGTTGTGGGAAGGCAGCATCGCTGTCATGCTGGTTGTCTGAGGGAAACACCTTACTGCTGTCACACCTCTCTACAAACAGCAGTACGACTTCGCCCTCAGACCTTGAGTTGCTGCTTTTAGTCTTAACGTTCACCAATCGACCTGCCTGGCATGGTAGAACCTATAGGAACATATGTTCCAGCCAATATAGCTCGGTTGGGTCATCACGATAGGCAGGCCCGACCACCGCGTCAAGGTAGCAGTTTCGGTCGGGTGAACACCTCGTTTACCATTGTAAGATTTTAAGATTGATACAATCAAGAAACAGTAGTTTGATTGTTAGCTAAAAGACCTTTGGTAAATTTTTTAAACACAAGGAGACAAACAATTGATTGACGGAGAATAAATTTATGCAAAACTATTCTTCTAAAACATGGACAATAACAAATATCTATAAAAAAACGCGAACCAATTACTTGACACACAATAATGTAACGATTTATTGTTTGCCAAGATATCTGAAATTCCGGGATTATAAAGCCGAGAAACCACATAATGCATGTACGCTACATATCGGCCTCTGTTTACAACATTCGTGAAACACAGAGTCTGAGTGTAGCCACACTAATTAATGTAAGCCATCATCACTACTGCAAGGCGGAACATCAAGCCAAGCAGCTCGGCTCAGGCTAACTAAACGAATAATATAACTTGTTACACATGAAATCATCCTAATCAGTGATCACGAAACATCAAACGTACAAAACAATGACACGGACAAAGGAGACCTCATTTAATGAAATCTCAAAGGCATCAACAAACACTACAACTTTGTGCTAACTCATAGACACCATCAACATGACTGACATTAAGGAATGTTACAGTTTAACAAAATCATAAAGCAATATGTATGCTACATATCGGCCTCTGTCTACAACATTCGTGAAACACAGAGTCTGAGTGTAGCCACATTAATTAATGTAAGCCATCATCACTACTGCAAGGCGGAACATCAAGCCAAGCAGCTCGGCTCAGGCTAACTAAACGAATAATATAATCTGTTACACAACCGTACCTTGCTACACGTTAAAACACCCGAATCACTGGTTAGGCATCAACTATGCCAACTAGTATCTTATCACAGAAACTAAGTTTAATGAAAAATCTATAAATGTACATTTTAACTACCATTATCAATACGTAAGATGAAAGAAGTCAAGGACACCAAGTGAAGCAAATATTATTAAAGCAGACTATCTTGTATTGTGGAGTGGCTGATATTTACATGAACAAAAATATGCAAGGCTTTTTGTAAGTTGGTATCGCAGCCTGAAAATGAATTCACTGAAATCTGCGTTCACTTGAACATAAAAAATATAGATACTTTGGAAGTAGGATAAAAACTGTTAATCACTTACTGTGAAATATCCTCTGGACACTCATTACTTTTAAGAAAACAGGATAGGTGACACATGAATGTTGGCTTTTTCCCAGATTCACATACTGTATGACGTTCCTGTGGAATTTGAATTGTCATTAAAGCTTCTTAGAATATATACACTGATTACAGAGTTTGAGTAAATTTTAAATATATATTTAATTGCCAATTAAACTTTCCAATTATGTTGAGTTAGACCATACAGTTATAGAAATGATTTTTATCGAATACTTTTTTGGGGAGGTATAGATCAATAATAACAATGAAGAAGTAAAGTGGATGTTGATAAACTGGACTTTCATCGGCTAGAACGATTGGGATGTAGTACGTATGCCCAACTACCGACTATTTTCGCATGCAATGAATGATTTGTGTATAGGTTGGGAGAAAGGTAGAAGTGATCAAACCAATGTGTATGACTAGTTGATTCGATTCATGCTAGTGAGATAAACCTACCTCGTGGATGTGCGCATGTAAACTGTAACCAGTAGTTGAAGATATACAGTTATTTATTTATTTATTTGAACATATAGATAATGGTAGATATTGGAGGCACCAAATATATATGCGCCACATAAATCATTCGATTTGTATTAGGGCTGGGATATTGTCCGGGTGCTCAAATCAAAGTAGGTGGTTTTCTCAAGGGGTCACACCCGGAACCTTTGACCTTAAGGTCTGGTCCACAAGGCAGTGGAGAAACGTAAAGAGATGCAGTCTCATGGTAGCCGATAACCAACGATTGGTTCACACGCCATTTGTTCCTTCAGGATACTGGAGCCCATGTGCACCATTGGTTTGGAATCAGGGTTTTTCAACTCCCCTAGGTGGACATTCCATGTCCACCAATCCGGTTAAAGCGCCGGACATTCGCTTTTTTTCCTCTCAATTCCGTAAACAACGCCCCTGGTGTGAGAAGGCAGTGAGTAGAACTTCCCTGGTAGTGGTTGTATGCACATGGTCATGTGAGAGCATTTCGAGAGGGAGATCGGACTCGCTCCACTCTCGGCCGTACCAGGACATTTGGGGGCCCGGTAGTACTTGGAACTCGTTTCTGTAATCATATTGACTTTTATGGCGAAAAGTGAAGCATATGAGGATAATTGGTTTTGACTAACTGATATGACAACTTTAGTCAGTTGAGGAGCTGGACGCACCATTAGGATAATCAGACTGTTCGCTTCTCACGAAAACAACTTTTAATTTAGGATTATAGTTTTACTCAATAAACTGATTCACCAGGTAATTAGGTATATTCCACACCGTAAAAATATTACCCGGTCGCGAAAACCGAAGTAGGTGGAAAAGGAATAGAACCTGGGACTTGGTGGCCTACAGTTGAAAACCTCAACCACCAAACTACCACTGCAGTAAGTGAGGGGCCATGTATAGAAATAAATGGAAAGAATATGGGCAGATGATCACTGATGTCACTTTAACAGTGAAAACGACAAATTCACACTTTTGTGTGCTGCTGTGGTTTTAACAAGATGAACGGGTTGATAAAATTGTGAGAACTTATACCAGCAGTCTGTTTATAATTTCAACAAATCTCAAACTTTCCCATGATAAATCTTAAGACGACTCCGTTATTAATTAAGTAAATAAATTTTGACGGTAATAATACCCATTCATAGTTTTCCTATATTCTTGTTGCCCAAAGCAGTATCATAGGGAAGTATGAGAGGATGTTAGACAAGCACGATTTCATCTTCAGATTATACTTATTGTACAACTTGAGTCACCCATAAATGTGACGATTGCTGTCACAAACACAATCCAGTATTTACCTGGTCGATCCTGATTACCAAAACGAAGACAAGCTTAACATAGTAAACAAAGAAAAAGCGGTAACAGTTAAAACATTCCGAGAAAAAGTCAGCAAAAGTTGTCTTCCAAGAGTTCTACTTGATTACATGAACACTACTTGTACAATAACCCAAAAATATTCGACAATGAAACTTAGAAATTAGACTTGTGAGTCCATATAGCAAGTACTCCTAAATGAACGAAAGCAACAAATCCTTCTGAAGCGCCTTTTACTAAATAAATAAATAAATCGTTTTGCAACTGGCAGAAAACGGCACAAAGATAAACTACTAAAGACGTTCTCCAAACATTACACACAAATTAAATACTTACATGCTTTAGCGGTTTCTGGCAATGAGTACACGATAAATCCCCATCTGATAACTTCACAGTGAATTTACGGGTTTTGGTTGGCTTTAAAGAACCGATTTCACTATTGATTGCAGATCTAATTTTTTCTTGATCTTCCCAACGAATGGAATCGAAATGTTTAATCTCAGCAGTACTCTCAACATGCGCTTTCGATTTCCAGAAACAATCGTAATGAAACCATCTGGGGATTTTCCCGTCGAAATTCGGTGCTTGTACTAGCATGGCGATACGCAGAGAATTTTGGTCGATTTCAACTCTGCATTTATTGCACTTAGATCTGTTACTTTTTGCATAATCCACATCAAATTTATACTCTACTTGCATAGTGAAAACTTATTTAACACGCCTGGAATTAAAATGTTTGTAGATACTTTTCCTGGATAGATCTGCTTTCTGAGAGACAAAATAAGAGTATGCGCTGACAAATGTTGACCAAAAATATAACTATTACAATTTATTAGTTGTTGTCACTCCATACCAAAAGAAGACACTCCTTTGGAGGGACCTGATACGGAAATCGAGTTTTTTATTGACGTTAATAACTTGAAGGCGTGATTTCAATTACTTAAGCAGTAAATGATTGGAGCTAGTCAAACACGATCTTTTAGTGAGTAGTTTTAGAAGTGCTAGCTCCATACTTTTCAAGGATGTTTGTCTATTTTGGGAATCCGTGAGGCAAGGTAGTGTTTTATTTCCATAGTTGACTTTCCTGATGCCTCCTTCCGTTGTGAGAAGGTAAGATAGCTTTAGATGTTGAGTATCTGAGGAAAAGTGGTCACCTTTCTGTATTTTATGGAGTAAATGTTTGCCGTCAGATGATGAGATCTAGGTTACCACCAACTCATGTGCTTTTATATATTTACAAAATATTCAAGAAAATAATTACTAAAAAAACATCTGCAGGAACTATTGTAGCGTTTACAATACTTTTTTTCTTGTCTGTACTTTGTAGAAACAAAGGTAATGGGAGTTGAAACCAAGTACCAAACGTATTATGTTCGAAAGAAATCCATAAGAGCAAAACTGGTTATTAGATAGACATAAATGACAGCTCATCACTTTTAGAAAACTCATACATTATTCTTTGGACATTCACAGGCCAAATGGATATAAGACAAGCATGCAATGCATTGTTGCATACTTTGTGCCGACAATTTAATATAGTAACCAAGAAATTGATAGTGACGTTTATTACCAAATAACAGACCGCTGAATGATAAAGACTACTTAGACTTAACTCTAAGAGTGTGATTTGACAGAGCTGACTAAGCATCCCATGAACTCCTGACCGGCTACGGATGCAGTTACGATACCACAGATGAACTTTAATGTGTAATGCCTCGGTCAGTTTTAACTCACTTATGAGTAGAACCCAGTTAACATTCAGATAACTAATATTGTGAGTGCTCTAGGTAAATCCTAACAAAGATTTCCTTTGTAATACATTATGGGTTATTATTATGCCAGGTAGTGACAGTGACGATGAACTGTCCTGAAATAAACGACGATATAATATTCAGAGTAGCTATAAAACTATCAATTAATGCATTTTGTTTTTCCTTATTAATCCAAATATGAAGGCAAGTCAGGAATTACCCATATCTCAAACACTTGATTATATTTCCACTTTATAATCGTTGAACAGTTTAAATTTTGTTTTGAATACAGAAACAGGACTATAGAATATTTCGAAGAACGAATCCGCGAACAAATCATTATATGTAATGATGTAGCTATAGCTACATAATTGTGAGCAAGCAATGACCATTAAATTAACAACAATCACATCTCAAAGTAGAAAGTGACCAGGATAAGAACTTATGATAGTTCATATTTCCCCTCCAAACTAAATATCAATCAATATGATAATTGGTAAATTACTTGATCGTGAATGCAAGATTCTTAAGGCATTCAAAGTGACTAACAGAAACCAGAGCGATGAATGATTTAGAATAAGGACCTTAATGGAGAATATGAAGTCAGAAAAACCGGGAATATAGTAGCCATAACGAAGTACAACACTGCAGGATAACTTACTATGGTATTCAAACTTCAAACCAGTGACCACGTTAGCAATTGAAAACGTCCTACCAGTGACCTTCAAAATCACTGAGGCATTAGCAATGTACTTTAAGACTTTAAAGTCATTAACTAGTAGAAAAAGATGCTCTTTACATATTATTGGCTAGAAATCAAGTATTTGACAGAACTATAAGTGGCAAAAATGGTACTACCGATTGTCCAACTGGACGAGAGACACTGATTTCCCGGACATATTAACTGCATGATTACCTGACTCATAAAATGGTTCAAATGGTTGTGGACGGAATAGAAGAAGCTTTCGCTTAATAGGCTTCCGTGTTTAGTAGCAGGGGATCACCAAATCCTCCAGGCAGGAACCTAGGTATGTTAACAATAAAAGAGGAAAAAATTGGTAAGTCATAGTGTGATACTACCCTTGGTCCTTAAGAATAGGTCAAGTTGCCTCTTGAAGGACTCCTGAGAAGTCGCTTGGGATAGCTCGGCCGGCAGCGAATTCCAGCTTTTGACAACTCTTAAGGAGTAGAAGTTGTGTCTACATCTCGTCTTGCTATGTTGAGTTTCCAGTTTCTGGGTGTTAACCCTTAGGTTATTATTCGAACTAAGCTTGAGTAGGTGTTTGAGAGGATGTCAAGAAGTGTTAAGAATACTATGAGCCATTGATAAATCACCTCTAAGACGCCTATACTCTAACGGGTAAAGGTCTAGTGAATGGAGGCGTTCTTCGTAAGGCTTAGATTTGAGTCCTCGAACTGATTTCGTGGCTCGCCGTTGGATGCGCTCCAAAGTGACCTTGTCCTTTTGGAGTGAGGGGGGAGTACTATATTCCCGTACTCTAAATGGGAACGGATAAAACTTTTGAAGATTGTATGGAACGTTCTTCCGTCAAACTGGCCAAAAATGCGCTTCAACATTACCAGTGCAAGGTTTGCTCGGGAGGCATTTTTGTCACAATTAGCGTAAGACTTTAAATCATGGGGCACCAGGGCTCCTAAATATTTTTCGACTTGAGATACTACTAGAGAGGAGTTTCCTAAGTTGTAACTGTAGTTTGCGACATGTCGCAGATGAACTACTTTACACTTTGAAGTGTTAAAGGTAAGTCCGTTATCGTCTGCCCAACTTTGAAGTCGAGTCAGATCCTCCTGAAGTGCATGTGTATCGTCTTGGTTGCGTATCTCTCTCCAAAGTTTTACGTCGTCGGCAAAAATTATTAAGTCTGACGTTACCTGTTGAGGAAGATCATTTATGTAGATCAAGAAGAGAAGAGGCTCTAATACTGAGCCCTGGGGGACCCCACTAGGACATTCCATAGCCTGAGATAAAGTGAAATTAACCCTAACCTCAAAGTGTCGATTTTCTAGGTATGAAGTGAGCCAATCGATTAGAGGTGGTTTGATACCTAGTCGTTTAAGCTCATTGATAAGACACAAGTGGTTAACTTTATCAAAAGCTTTTGAGAAATCATGGTAAATGATTTCCACCTTCCCCTTGTGATCGAGGATGCTTGTCCATCTGTCCACCGCAGTCAGCAGGTTGGTTATACAAGAGTAACCCTTCCTGAAACCATGCTGTTGCGGTGAGAAGAAATTTAAGGACAGTAGATAGTCGTTTAAACCGTCACATATCAGGGACTCCATGAGTTTTGAAGGTAATGACAGAAGAGCCACCGACCGATAACTTGAAGGTTCATTGCGTCGACCAGCTTTGAAAATTGGTGTGATGTGAGCCAACTTCCAATTTCCCGGTAATTTGCCTAGACTTAGCGAGTGTGAAAACATCACGCTAAGCGGCGTTGCCGGGATTGAGGCTGCCTCTCTCAGTATGGCAGAATGAATCATATCCGGGCCAGGAGAAGTATCTAGTCTTAAGTGCTGCAGTTTCCGGAACACCAAGTCAGCGCTCAGGTCCATTTCGGAAAGTCCTGTCGAATCGCAGGTGAAACTGTCGTTAATAACGTTGATGTCAGCTGGCTGAAATGTTTGAGAGTAATGTGCCGCCAGAAGTTTAGCGGCGTCACCATCGTTGTTGGTCAGGCCATTAAGACCTAGCAGTTGAGAAACTCCTGTTTTGGCTTGACGAAGAGAGGCTGCATACCGGAATAGGCCTCTAGGGTTCGAGGCAAATTTTTCCAAAAGCTTTGTCTGGTAATGAAGCCTGTCTTCTCTTATAGCATTCGTGCATATGTTACTGATATATTTGTATTGCTTATACGCTCCGTCGTTATTAGTTCTTTTGTATTCCGCCCAACAGTGCCTTTTGCGGCTTAGCAGGCGAAGGGTACGGTTCTTGATGACTGTAGGTGGCTTGCAGCTTTTGGGAACCGTTTCAGAAACTGAATGGTTAGTAGCACATAAGAGCGTGTGCAGTAAGAAGTTCCAATGACCGTTCACATCGAGTTGAGGGTGAACATCACAAACCACCTGTTGAAGATAGTCATGTAGAGCTGGCACATTCAGCCATTTAAAATTCCAACGCAAATTATTGTTGGGATACCTTAGCTTAGTTTTGATGAGAAAACTGAAGGCTATAACGGCATGATCGCTCTTTCCCAGAGGAGCCAGGATTGAGAGGTTTTCAACTAAGAATTCTTCGTTTGTGAATACACAGTCTGAGCGCGAAGGTGTCTGACTGTTTCTCCAACGAGTTGCCGACCTCACATTTTCATATAAACCCAAGTCATCGATGAGGTTGAAGAACCGATTTTCAATTGAGTTGTCGCCTCTAGTGTACGTGTGTTCCGCGAAGTTGACTCTAGGGAGATTAAAGTTCCCTAGAATCAGGATGTGTGTGAAACCGAGACGAGTAGAGCGGGATAGTCCTTCCAGCATGCGACTATCGTACTCGATGTCGGCAGTTGGCTTCCTGTAAATGACTCCGACTAGACACCTCGAAGTACTTGACAATCGTACAGAGCACCATATCGATTCCTCAAGATTGTTAAACATGAGGTTATGAACTTGGTGCACCTCCAATCAAGAACGTATGTATATGGCTACACCACCCCCAATTCCTGATTTTCTGTCATTGCGGAACAAAGACATCCCAGGTAATGCTAACTCTTGGTCCGAGAACTGAGAAGATATCCAGGTTTCAGATATTCCTATCACGTGGGCTTTATTAGCGTTGCAAAGTTCACGTAGTTCATCCAGTTTGTTTGGTAGACTCCAGGCGTTCATATATAAGCAGTTTATGCTTTCAATTTGGAACGCGTGAGCTTCGTCCTGTTTTTCTGTATGAGCCCTATGTGAATGGACAGGTAGCCCACTTATGTGAGGTTTACCGAGGTGGTAGGCTCTTTCCTTGAAACGTTTTTTTATCATTTAAACAGCCCACAAGTGGAATGGTCAGCTCCAACTTGCCTTTGTGTTTGGTCCTAGCTTCATATGGCCTATCTGGGTGCATGTGGATTCCAGGTGGCAATCGACGTCTGTTGGAACGAAATGCTTCCAGAGTTGCAGCAGTCATGTAGGAAGATGGGAAGGTTATCTTCATTAGATGGGGTCTAAGATCACCGTCGTTCTTGGCTAGCCTCGTCACATGCTGAGTCAGTATGTATTTGAGCCTCATGGACTGTTTGATGAATTTCCATTACCTGATGTCAGAATTTGATTGAGTAGGGTCTGCATTTTCCGGTATACCTTGCACAATTATGTTTCTTCCGCGGAAAAACTTCTCGCGAGATTCTTTAGGGATGTTTCGTATGATATTACGCTCAGAGTACGGTATGTCGGGCAATATTCTTACGTTACCATTTGATTTCAGCAAGTGACTTGATAGCAAGACGTCCTCTACGTCGGTAGCATTCTTAAGTGTTATTCGGAGAAGCCTCGGGTGATTTAGAGGCTTAGAATCCTTTCCTCGAGTGAGCCGGGTGACCGTTAAAGACTCTATTCTAGGAATTTCGAGCTTCTTGTTCAATTCATCACAGAGCATCCTGTCATTTTTGTCCTGCAGACTGAGAGGAAGGTCAGGTTTGTCAACGAGGTTCATGATAATGAGTGAATCGTCACGAACTGTTGTTAATTTACCAGGTTTTAGGATGGGTTCAGGTTTAATAACTTGTTGTTTGGAGGTCAGTGTGCGTTTTTGAGGCTTGGGCTCTTTATTGACAGGACGAACAGTCTTGGACGTAGACTGTGCGACCAAATCACCAGTTATTTTCCGTACAGCAACAGTTGGGTCGCTCGGCTTAGGCGGTGATGCCTGGTTCTTTTGGGCTCTCTTGACTTGGGTCGGATCACCTACAGGGATTTTGAGAACTACTGTTGTGTTCAAGGTCCCTGAGCTGGGAGACCCGAGTTTGCTTAGGGAGTCTAATACCGTCGACGTAATGATGGTGCTGAGCCTCGACACGCCATCATTAGTGTTGATGGATGCTCCATCGATGGTATACCTGTCGACATCCCTATTTTTGTATCCTTCACACGCTCTTGTTTGTCTACCGGTTTTTTTACTATCGTTGTCCAAGTTAACTGACAACTTGTTCCGAAGACCTGTCAGTCGGACAATGATGTTATTCAGCAAGACTACAGCGTCCGTGCTGCACCTGACAGATAGCCATTTTTGACCTGACTTGCTGAGTCTGTTGTAAGCAGTTGCTGTCAGATCTGTGCATGCTTCGTGGAACCAACCTTTGCAGCTGTCGTACTGTATGACAGTTTTAACAGCGAAACGGCATGCCGGACGTTTGCATGAGTTTTTCATGACTATGTTGAAGCAAACTATGTTATAGATGCTTGCAAAAGCCTAAGACCTTTAAAAAACACTAAAAAGCACACTGAAAGCGGACAAAAATGGATAAAATGAGTGATATAAACTGAAACTAGTCAATACGTGAAAAACAAAAAAAACCGAATAGTTAGCTGAGGCAAAACCACAGGTAACTATTGAATATGGTGAGACTCATAAAAAGTAATCTACCGAACGTATAGCTCAGGATAGATTCTTTAGAACTGAAATGGTACTTTTGTTGCGTAAGAACGCAGCAAAAGTTTGATAAATGCAAATCACGTTAGGACTAAACTTCCCGTTCGACTCATGTTTAAGCCATCTTACAGACTTCTGTATTC